AAGAACAAAACTGCTCCCTGGTTGACACTACGCCTGGGCCTCACCCTCACCCTTCCTCCTCTCTCCCTTTCCTCCCTCAATCCTGCTCCCCCTCCCAGTCTGTTCCATTCCTTTCCTCCTCCACCTCCCCTCCTCTTTCTGAATCAAGTACCTCTCCCATGGGCCACCTTCCCTAGCTAGGGACAGTGGAGTGGATGACAGGGGCTCCCTCCGCTCTTAAGATGCCTTCTAGACTCCTAGATTTGGGGGCAGAGTTAGGTTACAACTGCTGCCTCCCTCCCCCTTGCTGGCTAGTAGGATCTGGGGATAAGATCCAAAGTTGGAATGAGGGGCTCTGGGTTTGGTATCCCAGTGCTGCCATGACAAGCTGGGTGCCCTTGGGCCTTAGTTTCCTTCTGTTAGGCCATAGTCACAGTCCTGGGCCAGTGAGTGGCTGTAGTGACAAGTGCATTGTTTGTCAACACACAGTCAAGTGATTTTGGAATGGTGCTGGTGATTACACATCCACTAGCCAAGGTGGATAGGGGAAGGGGCCCAGGAAAAGAGAGCCAGGAAGAGGGGAGGAGGGCAAGTTCTGGCCTCTGGGCTTCCTGTCTGACTCACATTCAGAAGGTAGAGTAGGGGCCAGCTTGGAGCTGACTGTCAGCTTGGTGGTGGCCCCTCTACTTGAGCTAATGGGCAAGGGGTCCTAATGAAGAGAGACAGACACATTTCCTCATGGGGGTGGCGTGTGGGGACTCCATCTTAGGGAGTATCTTATCACTCTGATATGGGGGGCTCAGAGTGGGCACTGTGCTCTCTGCTGACCACTGAGAGACCTGAGGGCACATGGCAGTGATGCATGAAAAGCACGTGCTGGCCAGGGGGTACCTGTTGCCAGTCTGCCTTTGTGGGGTTGTGGTGTCTCTGGAATCAGTAGGGGCCTGGTGTACTTTCAGCATCATGGGGAATGTGCTTGCTGCAAGTGTGTGTCTGTGGAGTTCTTGACTGTATATGCCTGAAAGGTGTCTGGTGTGTGTGTGTGTGTGTGTAAATGTGATTGATTATATGTGAGGGATTGGTGTGTTTGTGTATTTCTGTGGGGTGTGTGGACCAGGATAAGTGTGTGCGGCTAGGAGGGTGTGGGGTGGACGGTATGTTTTGGTATGTGCAGCTCTATGAGGCACATGCAATGCGGGTGGGGTTGAAGCTGATGTGAGTACGTATACGGGAAAGGTACGGACCCCTACAGTATTAGTGTATAGGGACATGTGAGTGTGTGGGATGGGGCGGCCTCGCACTGGGCGGCCCCTGTACGAGGCCGCCCCGGAGGGGGAGGCGTCTGCCCTGCGCGACTCGCCGGCGTGTCCCAGCTCCGGCGCCTTCAGCTGGGCGGCGCGGGAGGCGCGGCGCCGCTCCAGCAGTCCTGCCACCGTCTGCGCGGGCCGTCCGTCCCCTCGGGGCCCCTGGGCCCCGGGCCCGCGGCTCCGGGGGGCGGGCGGGGACCCACGGGGTCCACTTGCCGCCCGAGGGGCCGAGGACACCGCCTGTTGCGCGCAGAGCATTGACCGCTGTGCCCCGCGCGGCGCGCCCCGCTCCGGAACCCAGGCCCTGTGCGCGCTGGAGCCGGGGCGGCGGTCGCGCCCGGGGACCCCCTCCCGCCGCGGCGCTCGTGGGCAGCTCCTTGTGGCGCGTGGAGCGCGCGGGGGTCGGGGGCTGGCGCTGGGAGCGCGCCGTCGGCGTGGACTGCAGCGCCCCGGAGCCGCGCTGCCTCTGGCTGCCCTGCCTCAGCCACAGCGACCACCAAGCGCCCGGGCAGCGCCGAGCCAGGGTGAGCGGCTTGGAGCTAGCTGGGTTGGGGGCCAGGGTCCCAACTCACTGAGACTTTCGAGCTGTGTGCTCCCTGCATTCCAGGACTGATGTCCTTAGCGTGGGGAGTGAGTGAGGTTGAGAGATGGGGCTGAAAATGGCAAGGTTTGTGGCTCGGACTTTTCCCTGGGTTCTGGATGAGACTCCTCCAGTCTGGGTGGTGGCCTCCCAGGTGGTTTCCAGGAAGTGGAAAGATGGAAGGGAACTGATTGTTGGAAGAGAGACCAGGCATCCAGGAATCCTGCAGCATTTGGGCTGGCAGGCAGTCCAGTCAGAGCCACTAACCTGAGCAGCGGGCTCCACCCCACCCTCCCCCTGGTGGGACCCTGGGCACAGGGCACATGAGGGCTTCCTAGTGGGCAAAGGAGACAGGTTCAGATTGAACCTTGGAAGGTAGTAAGTGATCTCAGGGCGAATGAGTAGTGGAGGCTGGGGTAGGGGGCAGTATTTCTGATGTCCGGGATCTACCAGGCTGGTAGGCGTGAGTCACAGTGGGCACCATGCCCAGCCTAAATGTTAGGCTCTCTGCAATGACCTCTTTATGCTCCTGGGGGGAGGAGCAGGACTCCTGGGTTCTAGTTCCTGGTGTTGCCAATGCACTGTGTATCCACATCTGCCCAGTTTGTGACCTGGGGTCTTTTGCCCTTCTCCCCGATCAGTTGTTATTTCTGGCTGTCTTTTTCTTTGCTGACAGGATGGTGAGGGTGAGAGTATTTGCAATAGATCTGGGCCAGGAGAATTTAATCAGTAATGTCTCCTGGCCCCCTGGGTGTCTCCTTGACCTTCCCCTGTCTCTGTGCCTGTATCAGAGAGGCAAAGTTAGGGAGAAGTGAGCTGTACGCTTTCCCAATCAAATCACGTTTCCTAGTTCTTATTGCTGGATTCTCTTCTGTTTCTGTGCCTATCACCTCTCTTCCTGTCACCCAGTGTTGTCCCCAGGTCAGAGGGGAGGAGAGGAAACCTGCATGTATAGTAGCATCAAGGATTGAGGTTAAATATGAGGAAGAACTTCCTACAGGGGAGCCAGCAGCTGGGTCTGGGTCCATGGTGTCTCCTCTTCAGGCAGGGGTGTGGTAGCTGTGGCAAGAGATTATTGACATTCTCAGGTGCCTAGTTGGGAGGGGTGAGGAAGGGTGAGGAAGGGGGAGAGGCAGAGATAAGGGAGGGGGCACCAGTAGAGCTTGGGAGAGGATGGACCTGTGGGAGGAAGGCAGACCCACTACCCTGGATTATAGGCAGGCCCCCCAGGGAGTGACACCCCCATTCAGCTGGCAGTTCCAGGCAGGATGTGTGCAGGAGGAGGAGTAGGGGGGCGTGTGGGGACCTGTCCCAGCCACTTCTCATCACTGGGGCAGCTGGTGGCTTAAACCTTAATCCAGGACACCAGCAAAACAATGGGTCCTGCAAACAGCTTCTGCTCCCAGCTGTGTGTGGGGCTGGTAGAGGGAGTGGGAGTGGGGCAGCTCACACTAAGGAGGAACACGGGCTTCTGCAGGAGGACCAGTGGTGGGGGTCCCCTAGGTCCTTTTCTTTTCCTGGTCAGTTCCTTGTCAGCTCAGCAGAGATAGGAAATCCAGGGGATTTCAGACCTCAGCAGAATTTCCAGCGACTCTGTTCCTCTGGGCTCCCCAGACCCCCATGGGATGTGAGGCTCAGTGGAAGAGGCCATACTGAAGCTACAACTGGAAGGAGTAGAAGGGACATCACTGGATCCCCTGCCTGATTCTGAATCCCTGAACTGTTAGTGGTCTAGTTTTGCTTGGACCCTTCTGGGAATGGGGGTTCCCAACCTCACCCCTGTATTTTTCCAGAACATGTATGACGAGAATACTGCCCTCACCTGGAGCTTCACTCAGCTTCCTTGTGTCCAATACCTGGATCTGTCCTCTGGGACTGTCCTCTGGGACTGTATGCAGCTGCCTGTTGCCCTGTCTCTCTCTCTCTCTCTCTCTCTCTCTCTCTCTCTCTCTCTCTCTCTTCATCTTCTGAGATTTAAGGATCTATCCCTTCCCCAGACCATGCAGAAATTCCTAGCAAAGGGCTGCTCACACATGCAGCATGGCTCTCCCTCCACTGGCTGGGTGAGTCTGAAGTGGACAGAGCTGGGATGCAGGTGTTTTTGAGCTTTCTCCAATCGGTAGAAGGAGAACTATGCAGGAGCTCCTCAGCCCAGATCTGTCAGGCTTCTTCTCTGGTACCCAACCCTCAGTCTTTTTCCCTGTAGCTGCAGGGTCAGGCTGGGCAGAGGAATGAGGGGTGGAGACATTTGCCCCCTGAGGGTTTGGATTAGGGGCCACCACTAGCTCAGGTTGTGTTATGTGGGAGCTGAAGAGTCTCTGGGAGAGGCCTCCTAGCTTTTCCTGCAACCACTTCTCTGCTCCTATCTTCTCCTGTCAGCCCCTCTGTACACAATCTCTGACACCCTCCTGTCTCCCATCATTCTTCTGAAGGCAGTCTTCTCTTAGGAATGTCTGTCCTCTTGCCTCCTGCCTGAGAAACAGCCCCTTTTGGCCTCCTAAACTCTTGTCTTCAGACACCCTGCCATGTCATCTAGGGGAATCCCAAGTATTCTAGCAGGTTGGACAAAGGGCAGTGTCCCTCTGCACCACTGAACCAGCCAGGCCTCTGGACTGGGCTCTGGGACCTTGGGAAGTCCCTTCAGTTTTCTGTCCACTCTCTCATGGCTCTTCCCCATGTGTTCCTGTTGTGGTTCCTGGCTGCATCTGTGTGCCAGTCTGTGTGCACTGATGTGTGTCTGTGCTGTGCGTGTGTGTGCATTCGTGTGTGTGTTGTGGGTGCACGTGTGTGAGTGCTTAGACAACAGCAGGCATTTCCTGGCAGGAAGGTGGTGTGTGCAGTGCCTGGGACATGGTAGGTGCACAGTGAATGTTTGCTGAATGAATGCCTGGCTCTCAGCAAGTTATTTCCTTGGAGGTAAAGGCTTCAAAGGGTACTGAAGGGAAAACAAAGAATGAAGACGTTGTTGGGTTGATGAAGGTAAAGAGGAAGGAAAGAGCAAAGAGGTCAGGGCAGAGAGAGGGTGCCTGGCTCTCTGAGGCCAAGGAAGCCTGGCAATCCCTCTCAGGTCCTAGGTGACAGGAGTAAAGGTGCCAGCCATACAGCACTCACTCTGTCTCCCTGTGTTTCCACAGCTGCCACTGGGCCCGAGAGATGGCTTCTCTCCTGGGCGCCACCTCCCCTGGCAGGGGCCGAGGACACTGCTGCTGCACAAAAGTCTCCAGGATGGCTTTGGTTTCACCCTGCGACATTTCATCGTGTACCCACCTGAGTCGGCAGTGCACTGCAGTCTGAAGGTATGCCTAGCTCACTTCCCGGTCAGTCCTGTGAAGCTTCATGGAACTTCTTTGTGCTAGAACCCTCTCAGAGTGGCAGTCCTTCCTGGGCCCTTCTGCTGAGGCCTAGGAGGAGGACTGCAGAAAAGCGGAGCCAGCTGGGACTGGACATTGGTGTTGTGAGGCTGTAAACAAACTCCCTAACTTTCTGAACTGTGTCTTCTCAGAAGGGAATAGTAGCTGGTTCAGGGCAAGCGACCCAGAGATGGAAAGTCACAACACTCACCCTCCAGTGTAATGCATGGTAACCTTTAGAAAGGGAACAACCGTCTTGGGAAAGATGAAGTTCCCAGGACTCCTTGTCCATTGGCTGCCTCTGATCTGGGTCTCCTAGCCTTGTCCACAGCTTGAGCTGTCAGAGAATCTATCCAACACACCTCTGGGACCCCTCTCTTAGAGCCCCAGGCTGGTGCTGGTCACAGTTTTGTGTGCTAGAAGGAGCCCTAGGCAGAGATGAAGGAGCCCTGGGCTCCAGTCCTGATGCAACTCCCAATTTACTGTGAACTTGGGGCCACCTCATCCCTCTCTGACCCCTTTGCTCCTAATGTAGCCTTAGGGTATTTTTTGACTTAATCCCTAAAAGCTTTACTAGCCCTAATGTGAAAGTCAAGTTCTCTGACTCAGGGAACCAGGGCTCCCCAAGGCTGTGGGCTGGGGGAAGGGGTCGATGAGGGAAGAGGAAGGTGGGAAGAACACAGGAAGGGGGCCAGGCAGCAACCAGGTTTCCCCACAAGGGTCCTGCTCCTCCCCCACTTTTCCTGCAGAGAAGGAGACAGATTTATGTTGGAGTCAGTGAGCTCCCTCTCCTCTTCTCCCAGGTCTGGGATCAGCCTGCATAGCTGTTGGGGATCTCTAGCTTGAGGACCTTGGTCCCACCTGCCAGAAACCCTAGGCATTGGATGTGACTGTGTCTGTGTGTTTGCATGTCTCTGAGTGCACACATGCATGCATGTATATTGGGCATGGACTTGCATGTGCGTGTATGTGTACATATGGTGTCTGCAAATTCATGTTGTGCGTACAAGTCACCGCAACTCTCTTATGTATGTCTGAATGGGGGGGGTGCCTGCATAACCGTTCTCATCAGCTGATGGTGTATGGTTCTGCCCACCCCTGGATGCCCCAGCCCCTTAGTTCCCTGGAACCCCGTCCTTCCTTCTGCCCTTCCCCAGAATGTCCCTCCTTTCTGATCCCTGCCATCTTCTCTTAGGGGGATCCTGCTAAGGGGTGACAGTGGCAGAAACTATGTGCAATGGTCTAGGGCAATGAGCATTCTCTCCCAGGGGGCACTGGCAAACTCTGAGGCAGGACAAGACAGAGATGGCTCCATCTCCTTTCCAGAACCTGCCCAGGACTGGGAGGGGCTTTGGCCTGGAGGCAGGAGGAGGCTCAGTTCTCCCATCCTGAAGCCTGCAGGAGCTCAGCTGTCCAAATGCATCCGTTTGCCTCTGCCACCCGCTCTCTGTGCTGTCAGTTTACATCAGGGGTAGCATACCGCACACAGGAGGCAGGGCAGAGGGCCTGCGCTCTAGCAGTGCCCAGTGCCTTCCTTGATCTATCCCGACCTGGTTGGATTGCCAACAAGTTGTGGGTTCTAACCCTAGCTTTGCTGCTGAGTCTCTGAGTGGCCTTGGACAAGTCATACCCTATCTTCTGTAAAACCTGTGGAGAGGGTTGGACAAGATGTTGCCATTGGCTGGGGGCATGGCTCAAGTGGTGGAGCACCTGCCTAGCAAGCACAAGTCCTGAGTTCAAACCCCAGTACTACCAAAAAAAAAAAATTAAAAAAATAAAATGAAATAAAACCCTAGTACTGCCAGAATGATAAAAATGTTGCCAAAATGCCCGGTTCAGCTCTGAAATGCCACATCCTACTGGCCTTGCCTATCTGACATCCTCCTAGTTCCTCCTCAAAGCCAGTGCCCTCCTCCTCACCAGAATGGTTCCCAGGGCCTTCCAGTATGTCTTCTTGACCCCCTGCACGTGGCTGCTAAGATCCTGTCCCCTGACTGCTCCCTCTTCTCTCCTTTCAAAACTGAATGCTTTAGTCTGACTTCTGCCACTTGCTGGTGTTGACCTTCTGCTTTAACTCAGAAGATCAAGCCCTACATGTGCCTACTTCTTCCTGCAGCAGGGCGGGGGGTAGCAGCATACCCCTTTCCCCTCCCCCAGATTGCCTTCTCCAGACACTCTCAAATGTGTCTTAAAATTCCCTCCCCCTCAGGGCTGCTAATCAGCCCTTCCTGTCCCATTCTCCAGGAGTGATAGCACTGTTTGCACTTGTCAGGCTGCTTATCTGTGTCTGCCTGGGTCTTCTGTGTGTTAGGGTGTGGAACCTTCTCCCTCTGCTTGGGGGCTCTCCAAGGGGTAGGGGCATGGTCCCAGGTGGATTGGGGGTTCCTAGACATCTGGTTGGAATGCTAGGATGGTGGGATTGGCAGGTGTGAGAAGGAAGCGTATGTTGCTGGGGAACTTGGCCCTGGGCTCAGTGCTCCAGCTGACAGCCTTTCCACTCCTTCCTGCTGGCTAAGTTGGAAGGAGATAAGGGGTAGCTGGAGCTTGCAGAGGGCCCTCTCATGCCACATGCCGTTGATGCTGCTAAGGGCTGGACCCAGGGCCACACCTACCTCTCTGTTCCCTGTACAGGAGGAAGAAAATGGAAGCAAAGGCAGAAGCCCAGGAGGAGGTAAGGGGTGGGGCAGGGTGGCAGTGGTCCCAGCACTCAGCGCTGGTTTCATTTTCTCTCCTACTTCCCAAGTCAGCCCCACCTTCCTCTCATGTTCTTTCTCTTTTCTGTGTTCCTGGTCTGGCCCACTCTGAGCATCTCCTCCTTATTCTCTCTGTCCTCCCTTTCTCTGTCCTGACATCTGTCTCCCTGTGGGCTTGTCCCTTACACAGACATATGACAATCCAAAGACAGGGCAGCAGATGGGCATGTGCCACCTGGTCCCTCCCCTCCCTCCAGTTTCTCCCAGCCCAGACCAAAGTCCCAGCCTCCCAGGCTGGGTCTGCAGGGCTGGGGGCCAGGGGTGGGGTGCACTGAGCAAGGGCTTTCCTGGTAGATAGTCAGTAAGGGTCTTGCTGGGAGTAAGGGGACCCTGAGATCTTTCATAAAATGTGTGCTTAACCCTCTTGCTGTTACCCTTGCTACCCCAGGGGTCTACTGAAAGTTCCCAGGCTCCCCAGGGAGTCAAGGCAGAACTCCCTAAACAGGCAGCCTTCTTGCCCTGCTGCTGTGCAGCCATGCAGACACTGTCCTCCTGAGTTCCTGTGCCATTGGCTGTGTTGAGGGAGGAGCCACCTCCCCTAGAGCAGGCCTATTTTGAGAGTGGACCAGCTGGGAAATATTGTGGGGGTATAAAGGGATTTGTGTCCATTCCAGTGTTCTCAGGCCTCTGTGTGGAGCCCCTCCCACCCCTGCCCCTGGGGAAGTGAGAGGGTGGGAGATGGGAGTGTTGGGTGTCTCCCTGGGTCTGTGGTGTGGGTGTCTCCCCTGCCATGTGTCTTTAGGACCTGACATGGGCCCCTGGTATGGTGCCCTTTCCTTGGTCTTGTGACTTGTATGTATGACTCTGTCTCCACAGCTAGTGAGCTCCAGAAGGGCAAAGACTGTGTCTATGTGTCTGATTTAGCCTGGTTTCTAGCATGATAGGGACACGACAGGTATTTTCAGGGCAGCTTTGTGTTTCCATGAAGGTTTTTGTTTTCTTATGGTGGCTTCTTGTCTGGCTCTGTGCATCCATGAGTTTGCTTCCAGTGGCACTCAAATGGCAGAGGGCCTGCTTACAAGCATGAGGCCCTGAGTTCAAACCCCAGTACCACCACCAAAAAAAAAAAAAAAGAGTTTGTTCCCAGTGTCCCATAGTTGTGTGGCTCTGTGTGCTTGTGTCCTTGTGAGTGTGATCATCCTGAGTGTGTGTCCCCTGTGTGTGTAGCTGTGCATGGGTGTGACCTTCAGCAGCCACCCCCAGTTAACCTGGCTGATGCCCACCAGGACCCTCCCCCCGGCACCGCCTGGAACCCATGGATACCATCTTTGTCAAGAATGTGAAGGGTGGTGGCCCTGCCCACAGGGCAGGGCTTCGCACAGGTAAGCTGTCCCAGTTTCCTGGTTCACTGCACCCTCCTGGGGCTCTGCTCCCTACCTTCGGGTTAGGATGAGATTCTTGAGTTTAGGTATTTGGGAGGCACCCATCCCCCATTGTTATCCATACCTGGCACAGGTGTCCCCACTTGGGGCCATTGACACCCCTGGCCTCTCACATGTGGCTCCTTTCCTTGTCTCCAGGAGACCGGCTGGTGAAAGTGAATGGGGAGAGTGTCATTGGGAAGACCTACTCCCAAGTCATAGCTCTGATCCAGAATAGGTGAGCTCCTCCTTCTTCCTCCTCCCACAGGAGCTTCCAGCCTACCCCACTCCCTGCCACCAGGATCCCTATCCTCCCAGACCCTGTTGTCTTGGCTTGGTCTGACCCTTTCCCTGTCTCTGCAGTGAGGATACCCTAGAACTTTCCATCATGCCCAAGGATGAGGACATCCTCCAACTGGTGAGTTCTGCCCCAGAAGCCTCAGAGGCAGCATATAGCCCTTCTCTCTGGTTCCCTAGTTCTCATTGGTTCCTGCAGGAGGCAGAGAAGGAAACACAGCCTGGGATTGCCCAATTGGGGCTGTAAGGCCCATCCCTGGGCTGGGGCTGGTTGTTGCTTCATTCAGGGCTGCTCTGTGTTAGGGAGAGGGGAGGTGCTGGCCTTGGCAGGCAGAATTTCTGCCAGGATATCTAGAAGGAGGGTGGCCCAGCGGGCCCTGCAAGACTGGCATGTTCCTGTTGCTCCTGTGAGAAAGACTTGTTCCCTATGCCCCCCTCCTCACTTTACCTGAGTGTCCTTGCAGGTGTGTCCACAGCCCCCCCAAATCCTTATGCAGCACATCACACTGTCATGGGCATCACTCACTATACAAGGAGAACACCAGATACTCAAAATAAACTACCACAGTACCACCCTTCATACACAGCAGTACTCCATAATACATAGTGTACCAGGCCCAGACCACAACACACATACCACACCAGGCCCAGGCCACAAGACAGAGAACCCCGCAATGGTAGTCTGCCCCCAAACACCACAGCACATCACAGTACCTCTGCCCTCACTCAAGACCTCATCACTTGCTCACCATCAGCTCCATTTCCCACAGCACACACACAGCATATCATGATGTGGATATTTGGACTCCATGCCACCATGATGTAACACCCACTGGCATGTTACCATACACTCACGCCCACAAACATCATTATCACAGAATCCACAACTTACCCCATACTGATGTGTACCCACTCTCCCAGGCACCTAGAATTCACCATGGAGTGCACTACTCAAGGGCATGACCCACAGTTGGTGCATAAAGCATACCCAGAGCTCTGTGCCTCGAGTTCAGCTGTGTCTTCCCTGCCCAGTGCCCAGTTCCCTGGCATCATGGGTTCCAGCCAGATGTCAGCTTCCTTGCCCCTGAGGTCACTGCCCCCTGGGGGACAGCTAGGGCCAAGCCCATTGCTGGCTTGGGCCCTGGATATGCTCTCATAATCACTGTAATCACAGTGCCATGCTTGGCATACCCCTCTGATAACCTCCACCCCGACCTCAATTGTCCCTTTGCTCTTCCTCGGAAGGGGAGGAAAGAATGGGGCCCAGAGAGGTGGATGGCTCATCCCAAGTCTCAAAGGCCCAGCCTGTACATCTCCCCCCATGCTGAGGTGAGACCAATTATGCGGGCACAACAGGGAGGGGTCTAGGATATCCCCCCCACCCCGCCAGATGGCAGGGGCAAAGCGGGTGGCAAGGGCAGTAACCTTGAGCTCTGCTACCCAGGCTCAAGTGGGCTGGCAGCCCAGATGTTAGCATCTGGGGGCCTCTACTAGCTCCCCCATCTCCAGGCAGCCAGAGGGTGGGGCCCAGGCATTCCTGTGGTTGGAAGCCAAGGCTGGAGGCCAATCGGGCGGCAGCAGCTGCTGACGCCACCACCGACGCTACGAGGCCCTCCACACCCATCCTCCCTCCTCCTCCCGCCAGCCAGCCAGCCAGCCAGCCAGCCGGAGAGAGAGGGGGCGAGGGGGAGCAGCAGGGAGGGCAGACCAAGGGACCAGAGGCCTGGCCAGGGCAGCGGCAGTGTGTGGGAGGGCCAGCCAGGGCAGGGGTGGTGGTATGGGAGTAGGCAGGATGTTGTGGCCGCCACAGTGATACAGGGAGCACCGGGAGTCCACAGGATGGCAGAAGGGAGAGGTATGTGTGTCCCTGCTGGAGGGGCTAAGTGTGCGGGGGTGCGGCTAGCTTGTCCTCATCACATGATGTTTGTGCCTGGAGTTGGAGGGGTAGTTATTTGTGTGTCTCATTGTGTTTGCTCTGTGTGTGTGTGTGTGTGTGTGTGTTCAGGGTGTGTACCTTCCTGTGTCTCCTGTAGTGTGGTGTGTGGTGTGTTTGGGTTCCTCCTCTCACCCTTTGATACTTCACCCTGAGACAGGCCCCTGGAAGCTTATCTAGGACCAGGCTGGGCCGGGAGTACAAAGCTGCTGTCCCTGGGGGCTGCCTCCTTTTTTGGCTGGGCCTGGGCACAGGCCCTGTCACTACTCAGCAATGCAGCGTCAGCCTCAGCAGCCAGCACCAAATTCTAGGCCTAAGGGTGACAGAAGGTGGCCCAAGGCCCCTCAGCCAGTCTGACCCATCCTCCAAGCTGGCCTCTAGGGAGCAAGGAGTGGGCAAGTTTCCTCATCACCCCCAGGCACAGAGGCCAGGCCTCAATTCCCCATCCTGGGATTGGAGGAATAGCAGGCTCTCCCAGTCTCCGCCTACCCCTAGCCTACCCCACCCTGGACACGCCCCTCAGCCTGCTTTCTTCTGTCATCAGCCACCTTGACTGGTCTCTGCTGGAGTTTTCCAGCTCCACCACAGGGGCTGTGGGCATCCTGGGACATAAGGGAGCAGCGAGGACTAGGCAGAGGCCAGGATAGGGGGAGGACCCCAGGAAACAGATGTTGGAATGTTTGTGGCTAAAGGCTGTCCTTGTCATAAGCCTTAGAGAATTCCCGACTCTTTCTTGAGAGAGAGAGAGAGAGAGAGAGAGAGAGAGAGAGAGAGTGTGAGTGTGTGTGTGTGTGTTTGTGTGTGTGTGTGTGGTGTGTTTCTCTCTTTCTTTCTCTCTGAGGCCTCTTACTTCTTTGTCCTTGCCCTGGACTCTCTGTGGAGTCTACATCACCACTCTCAGCTGTTCAGGATGTCCCTGCTTAGTCTTAGGATGCCTCTCCCTTCAGTCTCCAGGGGATCTTACCTCCTAGAGCTGTTGAAGCCCTGCTGTGTGGCACCTGTTTGGCCCTGCTCATTTACCTCTATATCTCTGGCTAGGCCTACTCCCAGGATGCCTACTTGAAGGGAAACGAGCCGTATTCTGGAGAGGCGCGCAGCATCCCAGAGCCTCCCCCACTCTGCTACCCCCGAAAGACCTACGCCTTGCCAGCCCGGGTATCTGCCTGGGCCACTATGGTGCCTGAGTCCATCTCAGCACTGCCCAGTGACCCGCGGAGTCCTGCTGCCTGGAGTGACCCAGGGTCCCGTATCCCGCCTACCACTCGTACTCATCTGGATAACTCTTCCTTGGGGATGAACCAGCCCCGCCCCAGTCCTGGTGCCTTTCCCCACCTCCCCTCGGAGCCCCGGATGCCCCATGCCTTCCCAGAGCCTGGCAGCCGTGTGCTCCCCAGCAAACTGGAGTGCCAGCAAGCATTGTCACACTGGCTGTCGAACCAGGTACCCCGCAGGGTGGGGGAGAGACGGTGCCCAGCCATGCCACCTCGGGCCCGCAGCGCCTCTCAAGACCGGTTGGAAGATGTGACTGTCCACCGCCCATGGCCCTGTTCCACCTCCCAGGATGCCTTGAGCCAGCTGGGACAGGAGAGTTGGCACCGAGCTCGCTCAGACGATTACCTGAGTAGGGCCACTCGCTCTGCTGAAGCACTAGGACCAGGAGCACTGGTGTCACCTCGCCTCGAGCGTTGTGGGTGGGCTTCCCAGCGTCCATCTGCACGTACCTCTGCCTGCCCATCTCGGGACCTGTCGGGGCCTCAGGCCCCACCCCCACTTGGCCTGCAGGGCCTGGATGACATCGGCTACATCGGGTACCGGAGCTACAGCCCATCATTCCAACGCCGGACTGGCCTTCTGCATGCACTCTCCTTCCGGGACTCACCCTTTGGGGGGCTCCCCACCTTCAACTTGGCCCAGTCTCCTGCATCATTCCCACCAGAGGCCTCTGAAGCACCCAGGGTTGTCCGGCCAGAAGCCAGCACTCGGGCCTTGGAGCCTCCTGCTGAGGATTGCCGAGATGAGGTAGTCCTGAGGCAGAAGCCTCCAACGGGCCGCAAGGTCCAGCTGACTCCTGCACGACAGATGAATCTTGGATTTAGTGATGAGTCCCCAGAGCCAGAGGCCAGTGGGCGAGGGGAACGCCTGGGCAGGAAGGTAGCTCCTTTGGCCACTACCGAAGACTCTCTGGCTTCTATTCCCTTCATTGGTGAGTGATGGCATTGGGACTGTCTTGGGAGATTAGTTGTCTGTGCCCTGTTGTACCCCACCCACTTGTCTACCATGCACAAGACTATGCACTCTGGGCTAGGTGCTGATAGAGTCGTCTTGTTTCCCTGTCTATCCATCTGTTCATCCATCTATCTATTCTTCTGTCATTCTTCTATCTTACCTCTCATTCATTCATCCTTCCAGCTATGTTTCCATCCAATTTTTCTTTCTTCCCTCCCTCCTGTCCTATCATTCCATCCATCCATGCAGCAGCTAGCCATTCCTCCTTCCTTCTTTCCTTCCTTTGTTCATTCCTTGCTTCCATTCTTTCTTTATTCCATCCTTTCTTTGTGTTTTGCCCTCTTTGTTCTTTCCATCTACCCTTCATCTCTCTAACAAATATTTGTGTCAGGCACTGTGCTAGGCTCTGGGTTGTCCTGGGGGAATAGACAGTAAACCAGTGGCCTCTGAGTGTCATGGGGAGCTCCAGGAGGACAGGGAAGGGCTGTGTGGCTCAGACTGGGCGTGGTAGGTATGGAGAGAATCTTAGAGAAAGGACGTTTTGGCTAAGACTTAGAGGATGAGAAGGAGGTAGTTAGGGGAAGAATGTGTAAGGAAAGACTAGGATATCCAAAAACACTGCAGTGGGAGAGGCAGGATGCTCTTTCAGGTCCTGAGGGCCCTTCCTGTCCAAGGTTGTGAGTGCCTTGGACTTTACTCTGGAGCTGAGGGGGCTGCAAAGTTGCCTGTAGAATGGATGGTGAATAAGGGGGAGGCAGGAGGGCAGAGAGGCTGGGGTGATTCCCAGCTCTCTGGCCTAGTTGGAAGGTAGTACCTCACCCTCACATTGGGAATGGAGTGGCAGGAAAAGAAAGAAAAGTTTAGGGCTTGTTGGATATGAGGCCTCCCACCTGTGAGGGAGCAGGCTAGGCTGGGCTAGGTCTAGGAGCTTGAGAGAAAGACAAAGATGCAAGATAATGACATTGGGAACAGGGGTCCAGAGAAAGTCGCTGCAGCTGGGAAGTGAGGGATGAAGGAAGAAGCCTGGGGAGGGTGGAAAGACACTGTCAGTAGCCTTCAGTTGAGGGAAGCAGAGCCTGCTTTACTAAATCACCAGATTAAGGACAAGGTCAGATACTTCCAGTAGGAGGGGGTGATATGGCCCCTGCCTTCAGGGAGCCTCCAACCAGTGGGAGACAGTCTCCCAGTATGATGGGGGAGACACAGTCCCTTCATCAGGAAGCTCCCAGTCTGATGGTAGCCCACCTGGAGGATCGTGCTCAGTCCCACTCCTGGGTGCCCTCATTGTGAGGGGAGGCTCATCCCCTGCTGAAGAGAGAGATTTCCTGGCCACAGTCAGGTGGACATGTAACACTGGCAGAGAGCATGTGGCCAGCCTTGAAGGAAGGGGCCCTGGGGTTGGTAAGGTTGGGGAGGGTCAAGTAGAGTGGCCTTCATACCTCCCATCCTCTGCTCCCAGATGAGCCCACCAGCCCCAGCATTGACCTCCAGGCCAAGCACGTCCCCGCCTCCGCGGTTGTCTCCAGTGCCATGAACTCAGCCCCTGTCCTGGGCACCAGCCCCTCCTCACCAACCTTCACCTTCGCCCTTGGTCGCCATTACTCACAGGACTGCAGTGAGTGTCTCCCACCCCTGGAACTCCCTCTCCCTTGCTGCCTGGTCCCCAGGGGTCTCTACTGGGTCTTCTGCTACCCTCTTTCAGCTGCTTTTTGGTCCTCTTGGGGCCCCATGGGGAGCGTCCTGCCTGGCTCTGCCCAGAAGGGAGAGCTCCAGGGCAGCTCCCCAGCTGCTGTGCCGCTGACCCTGAGACCCCATGGGGGTGGCTTTGCAGGCAGCATCAAGGCTGGCCGCCGCTCCTCCTACCTGCTGGCCATCACCACGGAGCGCTCGAAGTCCTGTGACGACGGGCTCAACACCTTCCGGGATGAGGGCCGGGTGCTGCGGTGAGGCCCTGTGTGGATGTGGGGTGGGGATGCCTTTGCCACCTGGGCCAGTTGCTCCCTAGGCAGGGTCCTGGGGTTGGGTGGATGACAAGAGAGTGAGGTCCTTGCCTATGCTTCCCACAGCCCTCACCTTTGGCCTTTGCTTCCCAGGCGTCTGCCAAACCGCGTACCCAGCCTGCGGATGCTCCGAAGTTTCTTCACGGATGGGGTGAGCAGCAAGTGTGCACGTGTGTGTGCAAGGGTGTCAGCCATGCCTATGGCTCCTGTGACCCAAACTGAGCCACTCTGGCTCTTGTCTCCTTCCTCTCCTCACTGCTATGCTCACATGATCCACCCCCTTTCTGCAGGCTCAGAAGTGACTTTACAACATTGTGCCTCCCACCCAAGCACTATGTCTCATCTGGAAAGCCCCTTTCTAGTGCCCTTTACCCCAAAACTGCACAACTCACTTTTTCACTTTGGTTGGGACTTTTTAGGCCTGCTCTAAAATGCCAGCCTCTGTCCCGACATTTCATGTCCCCCTTTGCTACTTTGTGTGATTCCCCACACACTTCTCAGGCTATGTACACCCTTAGGCCTGTCTTCTTGCCCACCTCTCTGCTGAGGACAAGCTCAAAGGAGTGGTCTTTCCTTTGTTGTGTTCCCTGCTGGATCCTAGTGCCTGCTACTCTACTTTTCCGGGGAGGCACTGTGATGTTTACTTGGTGGATTCAGCGGACAGCCTGAAATTCACCCTGGAATTTAGGGGGACACAGGAAAGATTGACAGAGAAATTGGGGTTTCTAGTCTCTGGACCTTGGATGGCAAAGAATCAGGGTTGTAAGGGCCACAGCTCTTTTTATTTTTTTTCCTGTGGTGCTGGAAAACCCAGTGCCTCACACATATGTTAGGCAAGCTCTCTATCACAGAGCTACAGCCTGAGTCCCGCAACTCTTCTTGATTATTGATAGACTGCAAAAGTCGTCTTAATTGCAAACCTTCCATATCTGTGGTTAGTTTAGCACCTTCAAGATATCGCCACCTGGCTTGTTCTTTATCACTTCCTTGGCTTACTTAACTCTCCCTTGACATGGTCCCTCTGTCACTGGAGTCCTGTTGACACTATCACTTCCTCTGTTTAACTCCTTGTGGACATGACTACCTGCTCCACTCACTCAGTCTTTGTTGATGTTCCCACTTCCCCTGTTTACTTAACTCCTCGTTGACACAATCGCTTCCTCTGTTTCCTTAATTCCTTTAAGGCTGTAAAACTAAAGGAGGTTCCAGATTGGCTTTTCTAGCATGGTGAGGCATGTGGCCTGCTGGCCTTTCCTCCTTTCTGGCTTCTCCATTACATCTCATGACCTGAACAGAAATGGTCCAGAGAGGACAAGCAGGGCCTATGAGGTCACACAGCACATCAGAGTGTGGCACAGACATACACCAGGCCTGTGTGGCTGGGAGTGGTCCATGGGTTTCCTGAGATGCTGGTTCTGTGGGAGCCACCCTAAATTGCCCTCTGTTGTCTCTCTGCAGTCTCTGGACAGCTGGGGTACCTCCGAAGATGCTGATGCTCCCTCTAAGCGACATTCAACTTCTGACCTCTCAGATGCTACCTTCAGTGATATCAGGAGAGAAGGCTGGTTGTATTATAAGCAGATCCTCACCAAGAAGGGGAAGGTAAGGTGGGCTGAGGAATGAGGTGGGGGCGGATGGAAGCTGACTCTGGTGGAACTCTCCAGCCCCTCCTACATCTACCCTGCATCCTCTGGAGCCAGGAAGAACCAGTTAAGGCTATAGCCTGAATGATAGAGGTTAGAGGCTCAGAAGAACTTCCAGGGAAGGGGAAATTAAAGAAGCACTGGAAAGTAATTAGCAAGAGAGGCAATTTTTGCTGTGGGATGGATCTGATTAAGTTGTGTTTGGATCTTGCCAAAACCATCCCACAGTGATCCTTGGTTGGCAGATCTCCCTGAAAATGGTTACTGGGGCTCATGAAAAAAGAGCAAGGCCAGAGCAATCTTCATAGGGGAACCGAGGCCCAAAAAGAAAGCAGAGCTTAAATCTTCACAGGGCTGCAGAGTGCTCAGTCTTCATCCTAAGAGCAACTGAAACCCTTGGGGCTCTTTGGGGAGGGAGGTAGAACTTTCCACCATGTTCACATGGCTTCCTGGGAAGACTTAGAGAAGGGCCATCCTGGAGTAAGGAGACCAGTTAGGCTGGGTATAGTGGCTCCCTCCTGTAATCCCAGCTACTAGGGAAGTAGAGGTAGAAGAATCCCAATCTGAGACCAGTGGGGCAAAAGCACAAGACCTTTTCAGAAAAATAAACTAAAGCAAAAAGGGCTAGAAATGTGTCTTAAGCGAGAGAACCTGAGTTCAAACCTCAGTGCTGCAAAAAGAAAAGAAGACCATTTAGAAGCCTCCACAGAGATCCAGGTGAGACAGGAGTCTGAACCTGGGGCCCAGAGGGGTAAGGACTGGGGAAGGGGTTACAGTGAGGACAATTAGGACCCCAAAGAGAAGATGGGCCTGGATCCCTGGAGGATGAACCTCAGGCCAGTGCCCTGGGCTGGGAAAGAGAGAGGAGAGCTCTCTGCGGCCCTCTGCTGCCCTCCAGGTCATCCACACAAAGCTGGTAGAGTGGTTAGGACAAATTTGGATTTGACTCTGGATGGCATGGCATATTTTTCTGGGGGCTTAGGACTCACTTACCTGTGACTCAGTGTTCTTAACTGTAAATGGAGCTGACGATCCCTGTTCTGAAACCTGTTGCTGAGGATTTAAAGAAGTGGTCTATGCAAAGGTTTCCCAGCACTGGATGCTTGGGAGCTGCTATTCTGCCTTACTGCTATTACAGGTGTCCTTCAGTGTCTGTGAGGGATCAGCTCCAGTCCTCCGACCCTGTAGATTCCAAAATCCGCAGATTCTCAAGTCCCTGATAGAAAATGTAGTAGTAGTCAGCCTTTCAACCTTTGCACATCCTCCCATATGCTTTTTGTTTGTTTGTTTGTTTGTTTTTCTAATGTGGTTTTGGGGTTGAACCCAGGGCCTGTGCATGCTAGGCAAGTGCTCTACCACTTAAGCCATGCTCCCAGCCCTTCTCCCATCATCTCTAGATGACGTAAACAATGTACATGTCATTGAACAGTTGTTAATGAGAAGTTGATAATGCTTATGGAATAAGGACAAGAAAATGTCTGTACGTGTCTAGTACAGACAAATTTTTTTTCTCCAAATATTTTTGGTCCATGGTGGTTGAATCTGTGGATGTGGAATCTATGGATCCAGGGGCTGATCCTGTGGATCCAGGGTTTTCCACCCTGCTCCTGGGAGTCTTGTGGAATCTAGAAAGAACATGAGCTTTGAGACAGACAAAGTTATTGCCCAGCCACATTATCAAGCTCATGGCTTTGGAAGTGTCCTTGTCTTTTCTGAGCCTCCCTTTTTTTTTTTTTTTTTTTGTGATACTGGGGCTTGAACTCAGGGCCTTCACCTTGAGCCACTCCTCCAGCCCTTTTTGTGATGGGTGTTTTCAAGATAGGGTCTTGCTGAACTGTTTGCCAGAGCTGGCTTCAAACTGCAACCTTCCTGATCTCTGCTTCCTGAGTAACTAAGATTACAGGCATGAGCCACTGGTGCCTGGCTAAGCCTTCCTTTTCTGATTTGTAAAATGGGGCAATGTTACGCTCCTTCAGGGGTATTTGTGGGGATGAAGTGAGTCCAGACAGGACCAACACCACTGATGTGTGCTAAGGCCCCCCGCTCAGTCTCTGTTGAGGTTCTAAGGATTTAGGGTAAGGGAGCAGGCAGTCTGCCCTCCTGGGGTTCATGACCACATGCACAGAAAATACATGTTGCCCAATTGTGACAAGTGCACAGACTGTCAGAATAGGAAGTTCAGGGGTCTCATTGTGTGAGGCAAGTAGGTGTCCAGAAGGCTGAGGCATGACAGAGCAGGAATCTACACAGCAGTGAGGGAGAGGAATGGTCTGGGGGAGTTGCCCTTAGGGAGGGCCTGGGGAAAAGGCAGGGTATGTGTGCTGGAAGCCAGGATGTCTGGAGCACTCTGGGAAAGAGGTGGAAAACTAACTAGGTGGAAGTTGGTGGCTGCTGAAGCATCTGGAACCTAGATAACCCCGGGAACTTCCCCTATCCAGTAGTCTATAGAGGTGTGGAATGGGGAGATGTGTGACCCAGGAGACAAGTGTGTCTGTGACAGGAGGCAGTGTTGTTGCTCTTGTTCAGGTGTGTTGAGGGGAGGGGCTGATGAAGGTCCTGGTGTGGGACTGGGGGAGGGGTCCAGTTAGAGATTCTAGGGAAAGGGTAGCCGGGGCCTGTTGATGACTAGGAGGGGGTGTGGAAAGCAGAGGAAGTGGCATGGTTCCTGAGTCTTTGGCTTGCGCTGGGAGATAGGTAGAGGGTGGTGGATCCCTCCTCTGAGCCACTGGGGCTATGTGAAGTCAGAGGACCTAGGGACATAACCTGGCAGTAGTGACCTGAGAACAGAGACTCCTAGGGTGTGGCACTGGGGGATGTCCACCTGGGGAGAGCCTTTGCCCATCAAGTGTACATAGATATATGTACACCTTCTCAAGGAGAAGGCCTTGAGAGGAAGTAGGGAATAGGGAAGTGAAACTGGCCATGGAGACCAAAAAGAACCATCAAATGGCAGTCACAGTAGGAGTGGGAGGCCTTGAGAGGGACAGGGCAGCTAAGTGAGCTGAGCAAGGGGAGCCACGTGTGGACAAAGCCCTCTAGTCTACATTCTGAGCCACTTTGAACATCTCCCAAAAGCTCCTGACCCCTTTTCCCAAGTAACCTGTCTTAAGCTCTTGGTGGCCCCTTGGCAGCCCAACTTTCTTGGCAGGAACTGATACTGGTGACCAGTTGTGGAGTATACGGGCATGGCCCAAACCCAATGTCACTTGTTCGCTTGGTGCCAATGGCCTAGGAGTTAGAGGAATGGTCCTGACTTAGCTTCAGGCCCTTGGTCTGTCCAGGGTCCTGTTTGCTGGTATGGTGTCATCTCAACCCCTCCCACCTCAGTATCCTTTATTTTTTTTTGGTGGTACTGGTACTAGGCTTCACACTTGCTAGGCATGCACTCTACCACTTGAGCCATTCCACCAGTCCTTTTTGTGTTGGGTATTTTCAAGATAGGGTCTCGAGAACTATTTGTCTGGGGTTGGCTTTGAACTTCAATCCTCCTGATCTCTGCTTCTTGCACCTGCACCTGGCCCCTCAGCCTCCTTTCAGAGAGTGCTGACTATCAGGCAGAGGACAAGGAGGTTCTGCGTGGCGCATCTCTGCAGCCAGTGTTAGCATTCGAGCTGGATGCCACTGTGGAGACTTACCAGATGAACCTCTCATTTTACTGGCAGGAGACACGAATGCCAGGGAAGGATTAAATCATGGACGCATCAGTCCAGTGCTATCCAGCTGATTTAGCCCAAGAGGGCCTTGGCACACTTATATTCTCTCTGGAGAAATCTAGCCATTCTGTTATGAGGACCGCTAACTCTGCTCTGGGCATCCCTGTCATGGAGTTCTGTGGTGGTGAGCGGGGCTCATCGGTGGGGATCAGCCCAAAGGGAGGCTAAGTGCAGGCTGCATCCACCGTGCCCTTTACCTGACGGGGACACAGAGACCCTGCACTCAGGAGAAGCTGAGGATCATTGATCCAGCTATTCAGGAAACATTGGTGAGCACTTAGCCTGCACCAGGCTGTGGACTGTGAAGGTAAGAGCACAGACAACCTCCTGCCCTCAGTAGCTTGCTGTTTACTAGAGAAGTCCACAACCGGATGTCCTGACATTGCAGGGGCTGCTTTAGAGGAGAAAATGGTCAAAAAAGGCCTCCCCCAGGAGACCACGTTGGTGACCTTGGAACACAAGAAATAGGCAGCCACATAAAGAAGTGAGAGAGGACAAGGTGCCGATGGCTCACGCCTGTAATCCTAGCTACTCAGGATCAGGAGGATTGCAGTTCAAAGCCAGCCCAGGCAAATAGTTCTGCAAGTCTATCTCAAAAAAACCCTTCGCAAAAAAGAGCTGGCAGAGTGGCTCAAGGTGTAGGCCCTGAATTCAAGCCCCAGTACTGCAAAGCAAAACAAAACAAACAAAAAAACTGGGTGTAGCTCACTGGTAAAACCCTTGCTTAGCATGTGTAAGGAACTGGTTTTGATTCCCTGTGTGTGTGTGTGTGTGTGTGTGTGAGAGAGAGAGAGAGAGAGAGAGGAGACCCCTTCCCACAGAAGGAACAATCAGTGCAAAGGCAGGAAGGGAATGGTGTGGCAGTTCATGGGCAAAGACATTGCAGCCTGACAGAGTGAGAAAGGGGGGAGAAGAAGAGTTGTGTTGGACCTCTGGGGCCTTTGATTTAGTTCAAGGGTGATGGGCTCCTGTGAGAGGGTGCTGTGCAGGGGAGAGGTGTGCTTATAACTCTCACTTTAGGAAATGATCACTAGACAGGGGCTGAGGAGGCAAAGACAACTTGGGAAGGTCTGCTATTGTCCAGGTGAGGGGTGTTGTTGGCATGGACAAGAAGGTGGCAGCAAAGGTGATACTCTGGTGTTGGTGGCTCACACCTGTAATCCTAGCTACTCAGGAGGCAGAGATCAGAAGGATCTCAGTTTGAAGCCAGCCCAGGCAAATAGTTCCTGAGACCTTATCTCAAAAAAAAAAAAATCATTAAAAAAGGGCTGGTGGAGTGGCTCAAAGTGTAGGCTCTGAGTTCAACCCCCAGTACCACAAAAAACAGAAAATGATACTCTGGAAGCAGAACAGTTGATGAGTTAGACATCAAGGGTGAGGAAAAGGAGTCAAGGGAACTCCCAGGTTTCAGGGCAACTGAGTGGATTGACAGCTGGAAGAGGTGGGGGCAGGGGGTGGAGAACAAGTTTGAGAATCCTGAGTCCAGTAGTGAGCATGTAGCTTGTGAAGTGCCTGTGGGACATGCAGGTGGAGGCGCTGAGCCCCTGCAAGAGGTTCAGGACAGGGCTGTGGGAATCACCATTGTAAGCGGAGTTGGTGTAAAGCCCTGAGGTGTGTAGGGAGAGGAGAGCCCAGGACAAAGCTCTGGATGCCTCATCCTTAAGAGCAGGTCTCTTACTTTTCCCTCTGTTGACGTTGGGTGGGATAATGCTTTATTGTGGAGGGCTGTCTAGGGCATGGTGGCTGTTCATCCTCGGCCTCTACCCACTAGTTGCCCTCCTCCCTCCCTCGTCTCCAGACAAATGTCCCCCGGGGACGGTTTGCCCTAGTTGAGAACTGTAGGCATACAGGATGTGTGGAGGGCGGTGGAGGAGCCCAAGAAGGAGTTAGGGAGATTAAGAGGAACCACAGAACATGGATCCCAGATGCCTTAGGAAGCTGGATGCTGGTGGCTCATACCTGTAATCCTAGCTACTCAGGAGGTAGAGATCAAGAGGATCGAGGTTCGAAGCCAGCCCAGGCAAATAGTTCCAAGAGACCCTATCTTGAAAAACTCTTCACAAAAATAGAGCTGGTGGAGTGGCTCAAGGTGAAGGCCCTGAGTTCAAGCCCCAGTCCTGAAACAAACAAACCCAGATGCCTTGGGGAGGGAGGAGGGGGAGGCCCTGTCAGATGCCATGGAGTAGTTAAGACAAAGGGAGGAAGTGGCCTGGCCATATGTAGTCCCAGATGACCCTGACTGGAGCCTCTGAGCAGGGGATGCTGAATGAATGGAGCCTTGAGTGACAGGCAGAGAATTGGGGACAGCTTCTCCCTGAGAGTGTGGGCAGCTCCTGACCAGTTTTGCTGTGAAGGGCGGCGTGCACCAGTAATGGCTTGATGAAAATTTATCTAAGGAGGTTCCCTCAGGGTGGTGATGTGCCCTCCCAGAGCCTCTACTAGGAGGTCCCTGGATGAAGATGCTGGCCTTTAGAGTGGGAGGAAGTTGGGGGTCCTCTGGGAGGTTGAGAGATGGGTAGGTGGGTCCTAGCAGTGGAGCTGAGAGAGATTAAGTGGGCAAGATGTTACTCAAGTGCACTTGAGATGGGTTGGGGTTCTTGGCAGGAGTGGGTTGGGCTCTGTTTCCACTGTTGTCCACGGCCTGCTGATCTTGGTCCTCTGACTCAGGGACTGGGGGCAGGCCTGGCTCTCACCACTGCTCCATCTCTCCCCCACCTGTGTCTCCCTGCAGAAAGCGGGCAGCGGCCTGCGCCAGTGGAAGCGGGTGTACGCCGCGCTGCGGGCGCGCTCGCTCTCCCTGAGCAAGGAGCGGCGGGAGCCCGGGCCGGCGGCGGCGGGGGCTGCGGCGGCCGGCGCAGGTGAGGACGAGGCGGCGCCCGTCTGCATCGGCTCCTGCCTGGTGGACATCTCCTACAGCGAGACCAAGAGGAGGCACGTGTTCCGGCTGACCACCGCTGACTTCTGTGAATATCTCTTTCAGGCTGAGGACCGGGATGACATGCTGGGCTGGATCAGAGCGATCCGGGAGAACAGCAGGGCCGAGGGCGAGGTGAGGCCCAGGCCAGTGCACCAGCCGGACCTTGAGGGCAGGGCAGGGTGCCTCGTAGCTGTTGTGAACCCAGGTAGCCACTCTGAGCCTCACTCCCTCTCCTAGAAAATGGGGCTAGTGAGAGTCTCCCTTGAGATTCTACCTGGGTTTGGGTGTGAGGAAAAGTGCAGAAACAGTGGCTCCTAGAGCACCTGGTGCCCTCTGGGTTCAGTGACTGGCAGGAACAATAACAATTCTAGTGATGATAGTAATTACTATTATTGTGGGCCCTGGCTCGAAGAGATTACCTCCAGGCCAATGGTAGCCTCTGTGGAGCAGGTGGGTTCTAGATTGAGGTGCCCCTGCTCAGACTGCACCAGGGCTGGCCCCAATGCAGGAGGTGAACAGTGACCTTGGGAGAAGGCCAGAGGCTTGGCCTTTGGCATTAGGGGTTGAGTGGAGCACTTTGGAAGGGTTTGGGGACAGAATTGAAAAAGATGGTAGCCCTCCTGGGAGTCAGAGCCACACTCTAGGGCTTTTGTGCCTGCACAAAGGTGCCTTGCCACATGCATGGAGTTAGGTAGGGTCCTGGGCTTGAAGGCTGGTCACTACCTATAGGGTAATGTGACTGGGCTCCATCCAGGTGGGAACCTGCCTGGCTGTGGAAGAGAGGCCACAGCCCTCTCGCTGAGGACAAGTCCTCTTGCTGACCCGGCCCTGCCCTCCTCAGGACAGCATCTTTCCTCACTGAAGGCTGAGAAGCACCTGGAATCTAGGGCCCTTGCTCTGAAGGCCTGATTATTGCTATCCCCAGCAGGGCCTGGTCAGGGAGTCCTGAGACACCTTCATTATTGCAGTATCTCCCCCTCATGCCTGCTGGGACTGTAATAAGTGCTGTGTGCAACCTCCAACTTGCAGGTTGCTTTTGTAGTTTATTGCTGAGGTGACTGAGGCTCAGACAAGCTAAGTGGCTTACCCAAGGTCACACAATGGTGAGGGGAGTCCAGGAGTCCAGCTCTGGCTTTTCTCACTCCAGGGTCTGTGCTCTCCACCTGGCAGATGGAGGAGAGGGGAGGGGAAGCCAAAGCTGGGGTCAGTGAAAAGCTGTGGGGGGGGCGGGCCGTGGGCACTGATGTGGCTACTCTCTCCTCCCCTCCTGTTCCAGGACCCCGGCTGTGCCAACCAAGCTCTGATCAGCAAGAAGCTTAATGATTACCGCAAAGTGAGGTGAGGCCCAGACCTCAGAGCACCTTGCAATGGTGGGGTTGGGGGCTCCAGGCTGCAGTGGTCATCCTCGCCCACCTCCAGCCTGCGGCAGGGCCATGGAGGGTTTCCAGTCTCCAGAGGCATGGGAAGATTGCCTCAGGATGGAGGGGAGGTCCTAAGGGGTGGGAAACCAGGAGGGGTAGCACATTGAGCCAGCCCAGTTGAAGACCCCCTCCTCTCCTTTTCCCTCACAGCCATAGCTCTGGGCCCAAAGCTGATTCCTCCCCAAAAGGCTCTCGGGGCCTGGGAGGCCTCAAGTCTGAGTTCCTCAAGCAGAGTGCAGCCCGTGGTCTCAGGACTCAAGACCCACCAGCAGGGAGCAAGGGTAGGAGGGTGGCTGTGGGATGGGTGGCATGCTCTGTGCGTGTGGCTGTGTGCTAAGGGTGTTACTTGGAGTGTCTGCCCACACGTGAGCGTGTAAGGGTCCAAAGACCCAGGGTTTCAGGGCTGGAAGGGTCTGGATTGCTCTCTACATCCTTACTGAGTGACCCTGCAGTCCCTGCTCACGCCCCTTGAGGGTGAGAGGCACACCCTCTCTGGAGGCAGCCTCATCCCTCTTTGTATACTTGTGTTTATTATAAAGCTCCTTCTTAATCCCAGCTTGGGAGGCAGAGACAGGAAGATCATGGTTGGAGGCCAGCCTGGGCAAAAGTTAGCCAGACCCTATGTCAAAAACAAGTCTGGCATAGTGGCACATGCCTGTAATATCAGCTACTTGGGAGTGGGAAATAGGAGGATTGTAGTCTGAGACTGGCCCAGGCAAAAGCACAAGACCCTATCTGAAAAGCAAACTAAAGCAAAAAGGTCTGGGGTGCAGCTCAAGTGATAGAGCACTTACCTGTCCACCTACCAAGCTTGAGGCCCTGAGTTCAAACCCCAGTATTGCCAAAAAGAGAAAAGAAAATAAAACTCTTCCTTTGGTCATATCAGAATCTGTGGTTTATGCTCTCACCTTGCAGTTTGGACCTTGGGGCCACACAGCAGTCGTTATGTGACCCTGAGCTCTTCCTGTGGGGTAGGCATCTCATCCCTCCTGGGCTGTAATTTCCCATCCCCCTCAGCATCCTGGTTGCTTCTCTAGTGAAGTCCCTTTATATTCCAATGTGTGTGAGTGTGACAAGTGTGGGTGACCCTCCTGGACTCCCCTAGCTCACCCCGACTCTTCCTGCCTCTCCCACTCCAGATGACAATGCTGTTGCCCCCAGAACCCCCTGGGGCATCAATATCATCAAGAAAAACAAAAAGGTCCCCCCCAGGGCATTTGGGGTCCGACTGGAGGAGTGTCAGCCCGCCATAGAGAACCAGGTGGGTCCCTACCATGCTCCAGAGCAGCCGAGCAGGAGCGGCTGGGGCAAGGAGGCCAGAGCTGCAGGAAATGTGAAGCCAGCCCTGTGTCTTTTACAGACATAGCTGAGGGACATCCCAGAAAAGAGGGAACCCTGCCCCTCAGTCCTCCAGAGGGCATAGCCAAGCTGAGGTCCAGCCCTGCTCCTTCTTGGTCCATGACAAGGCACGGCCCTCAGACTGGAGGCAGCAAGAGGCTCTGTCCCCCGCATTGGGTTTCTGGCAGCAGCTCTGGGCTTCGTGCTGCCCTCATGTTGGCCTCTCCACCTGCTCTCGTAGTACCCACCCTAACCCCTCTGCCCCACCCATGTTCTCAGCGTGTCCCCCTGATCGTGGCTGCCTGCTGTCGCATCGTAGAGGCACGGGGGCTGGAGTGCACCGGCATTTACCGGGTGCCCGGCAACAATGCAGTGGTGTCCAGCCTGCAGGAGCAGCTCAACCGCGGGCCCGGTGACATCAACCTGCAGGATGAGGTGGGTGCAGCTGGGCTTTGTGGGAGGGGACAAAGTGGCATGTGTGAGCGCTTTGCTGAGAGAGTTCCATGATGGCCAGCGTGCCGAGATGGCAGGAAGGGACCTGCCCATGCAACTCACTCCAGGTGGGCACCTCCCCAAGGCTGAGTCCACACAAACATGGTCCTGGCCTGGGAGTACCAAGGCAGAGGCTTGCAAATGGCTTTCTTGTATGAGCCTTGAGAATGGCAGGTGTTCACTCACAGCCAGTGAAAGCGAGGTACGGTGTCCCAGGTAGAGGGAAGGTTTGGCAACGGCATAGACTCTGAATGTTTGCCAGGAATTAACAAACTTTCTGGGTAGAGGGCCAGCTAGCAAACAGGTGAGACTTTGGTTTGCTCTGTTGCAGACCCTCCTCCTCCTAACTCCCCTTTCTCTTCGTCATCCTAGTCCTGTTTGCAGTCTGTTAACAGTGTAAAAGCTGTATTTAGTGTAAGAGGCATACAAAAACAGACTGGTGGCTGGATTTTGTGTGCAGGTGAAAGTTTGCAGACCCTGGCTTAAAAGGAGGAGGAACATGCCATGTTCTCTAGAAGGGCTGGTCACAGATGGCTGCAGCATGCGGAGAGAGATGCTGAAAGAGATGAGACCAGCTTGGAAAGGGAGCTGATAATCACACTTAGGAGTTTGTAGCAGGGCAAGCAGTTCTCAGATGGTGTTCCTGAGAGTCCTAGGGCTCCCAGAGGCTGTGGGAGGTGACAGGTCAGGACCTCCTGTCCTTGCCAGAACTAGAGCCATCCTGCCTTGCTCTGCCTGTCATGTTGGGTTTTGATGTTTGATTTTACTTGACTGAAGGGGCTTTGATGAGGGTTTAAGAAGACCATGGATCTGGACAGTGAAGTGCCATGAGTCACACACACTCTTCATGTCCTTGGGAAATGGGGAGAGAAGACAAGTAGGAGTAACATCATGGACAAGAGGAAAGGGTTGCCGTGGAGCCCAGTGTGTGTGAGAAGAGGGGAAGGAGCTGAGGGCTGAGGACATTCCCATTCCCAGAGGCCACGTCCCTGAAGGATGCAAAGTAGGACAGCGCAGGTTGGGGAAGGGGGGGTGATGGCTTTGTCCAAAACCAGGGAAGGTTTTTTTTTTTCAGCACTGAGGTTTGAATTCAGGGCCTCATGCTTGCAAGGCAAGTGCTCTACCTTTTTTTTTTTGGTGATGGCTTTTTTTGAGATAGGGTCTTGTTAACTAGGGCTGGCTTCAAACCATCATCCTCCTGATCTTTGCCTCCTGAGTAGCTAGGATTACAGGCATGAGCCACCAGTGCCTGGCTCCAGAGAAGGGTTTGAGGGTTAGGCAGAGAATGGATGCATGTTCTCCAGGCTCGGAAGGGGAGAGGGTGAGGCCCAGGGAACAGAAGACTTGTAATAGCTTCATTGAAGCCTGTGGACAGTAGGGAGCATTCAGTGGTTTTTAAACTGAGAAGGCATAGCTGAAAAGTGTGTGAGAAGAATGATGCTCTAGCTTAGCCTGGAGGGGAGACACTCCTGTTGTGCTGGAGGCCCTGAGGGTGGAGAAGAGCAAGTCGAAGAGCTGGCTGTGAAGAGAGTGAGTGAGGAAGGAGGCACAGGAAGAGCAGTAGTTTTGGCTGAAGGCAGGGTACCCACTCCGGCAGATGACAGACGTGAGGAATAGGGCAGCTTTAGGAGAGTTTGAAGTGGGGATGAGTCAAGTCATGGCCTCATTGGATTTGGGGTGATGATAAGTCACCTATGTAGGGTGACAGCATCCTCAGAGCCTAGACTGAGTGGACTAGAGAGTAACCTGGGATCATGCAAGGGCCTGATTGAGGGAGCTGTTACCTGGGGAGAGGATGGGCAGCAAGCAGTCTAGGACCAGCCTGACGTGGGGCAGCAGAGGGATGCTTAGGAGGCTGGGGGGTGGGGAGCAGACACTGTCACACAGGAGGAGGCCAGAAGGATTGGCCAAAGTCTTAGGGTGGGCAGTTGGGAGATGAAAAGTTGGTCCCTCAGGGCAAGGACCTCAAGGGGAGAGGTGGGCAAGGAGGCAACTGGTTTTGCAGTGGAGGACACTGGATCACCTTAGCCAGAGAGAAGAGCGACCAAAGCTAGAAGGACAACTGGCCTGAGCCAGGTCCAGAGTGGGGTGTGCCGGGTGCATTGGGTGTGCTGTCTGGTCATAGGCATCTCTCACGTCATTTGCTATGGGGTGTGTTGAAAGTCAGCGCTGTATGTTGAGCCTGTGGGGAGTGTGTTGTTTGTGGGATTGTCTGGCATTAAGCTGCAGGTCTGTTGTGACGAGTGTGCATATTGTTTGGCTGTGTCTCTTTGTTGAGGGTTTTCGGTTGCTTTCTGGGCAGATCACAGCTGTTCCAAGCAGGTTGGTTGATCATTCCCGATTTTGCGGTGCAGTGTAATGGTGCCCCCTTGTGGACAAAAGGGGCAGTGACCCTGCTATTCATTCATTCTTCTATTCAACCATTTAGACCAGGATTTTTTCAATTTCATACAATTGACATTTTGGGCAAAATAATTATGAGTTGGCAGAGGTGTGTGTGTGGGGAGGGTTGTCATTTGCATTGGAGGAAATTTATTGACATTCCTGGTTCTATCAACTGATGTGAGTGACACTCCTCTACCTCCTTCTCCTCCCCCGCCAGCTGTGGAAACCAAAGTAGTTCCAGAAACTGCCAAATGCAAAAAATCACCCACCCCCATTGATACCATGTAAGTGGCAGGCTAACTGCCCAGGATGGGTGATAGGAATATAGCTAGGAATGAGGCAGATGAATTCCTGCCCCTCACAGAGCACACAGTCCCACGGGAGAGAAGGACAAACAAGGAAACAAAGGCATGAGTAATGACCAATGGGGCAAATGCCATGGAAGAAACGAGGTCAGGTTGTAGTGACAGTGACAGGGCAGCGGCCATAGTGGCTGCTTTGGCTGTGCCAGCAAGGTAGGACAAGCCAGTCATGTGAAGGGCAATGGAGGAGAGGTCCAGCAGAGGAAGTAGTTTATGCAAAGGGCCTGAGACATGGAGGAGCCAGGCATGCGAATGTTGTACCATGAGCGCTTAGACTTTGGGTAGGGAGGGGAGTCTGAGGATGACTCAGGCAGGAGCCTGACTTGCAGGTCCAGTGGAGGTGCTGAGGACAAGCTCATGGGAGGTGGCTCCTGCTCACTTCTGTCCTCCACAGTGCCTGGCCCAATGGATGCCCCTGGTACTTTCTGTGATGGGCAAGTGTTGGGGTCCCATAGACTGGCTGGGGCAGAGAGGGGCTGGGCCAGGTCCAAAGATTGGACTGGTGTAGAGACCTGGCCAGTCGCGGACTTGGAGGTGTAGGGGTTCAGGCACCTACACCTTGGGGTGGCCTCCCTGTGTGCTGACATACTTGTACTTCCCCAGCGCTGGCAAGACCTCAATGTAATCAGCAGCCTGCTCAAGTCCTTCTTCCGAAAACTGCCTGAGCCCCTCTTCACTGATGGTGAGTAAGAAGCGGGAGTGGGAGGTGGGAGCAGGAACACCAGTCTGCGCTGCACCTGGCCACTTTCTTATTTGGGTTGTCGGCTTTAGTTTTGTTTTTGTTTTTTTTAGTACTGGGATTGAACTCAGGGCCTTGCACTTGCTAGGCAGGTGCGTGGGCCATGCCCCCAGCCCTGTTTTGTTTGGTTTTTTTGTTTGTTTGTTTTTTAGACTAAACATTTTTTTAGTGGGATTGGGATTTGAACTCATGGCTTTGCTCTGCAAATCAGGTGCTCTACTGCTTGAGACACACCTCCAGTCCTGTATGTTCTGCCAAAGTAATAATAATATAAAAATAATAGTAATATAAAAAATTAAACATTGAGCTGATACAGATGTGAATCCAGTTAGAAGCAGAGGTCCCTATCACCTTACACTGTCATAGCTACTTTCTGAGCATGCACTATGCACCAAGTACTTCTTCCTACAACAGCTCCCTAAGGGTGGGGGCTGCTATCACTCCTTCACAGATGAGAAAATGGCTCAGAGAAGTGAGGAAACTTGCCCAAGGTCACACAGTTGTATGTAACAGAGCCAAGATTCTTACCCAGAGCTCAGTTCTTGACCTTGTGCTGAGCTGCTTAATAATTTGTTGTGTTTCCTTCCTGACCCTCATAGCATGAGAAAGACACCTATGCATACAGTGGCTTTGAGTTGGGAGTGTTCAGTGGTGTGCTGGTAAATGTTTAACATCTGGATCTCCAGGAAGGTGGGCGGGGGGAAGCCTGGATTCATAGCATTTTCCAATTTGCATGGTGTAAAAACTCCCACTGTGGCCTATTTCAAGCCACCCACATGATGTCATCAACATGGGATTGGGAAGAGATGCACAGTTCCCTCTCAGGAGCTGGTATGAGTGAGCTGCAGCACGCCACTGTTAATTTGTTCTGAACAGAAGCAGCGTTGTGATTTTGACACTCATTCGTGTCACCACAGTGAGCTCTACTTCATTCTTCTTTTAAATCAACCACATAGGAGTGCACAGCCTGATCAGACTGTAATTTCTCTAATCACTCCTCTACTGATGGGTGTTTAGATTGACTTCAAATATTTGCTCTTACAAACCCTGCTGCGATGGCTGTCTTGGAGCCGCCCTGCACGCCTGGGTCTGTGCTCTCTGGAGCTTAGAGGTAAATTGCAGGGTCCGTAGACTGCTGAACACCTTTGAGAGCTAATGTCACACTGCATGCTGAGAAGGAGGCTCTAGCACACACTCCCCTAACAGCATGGGATGTTGCTTACCTTCTATTTTTATTTTCTTTGTGGTACTGGGGATCAAACCTGGGACCTTGCACAGACTAATGTGATTAATGTTTTAAACTTTTGACAATCAATAGGGGAAATGGCATCTCATTATTTTCATTTTTCATTTCCCCCCTGTCACTAGGGAGATTAAATCTCTTTGCATTTGTTTTGGACATTTTGTTTTTTGGTTTTTTTTTTCTTTTGGCAGTATTGGGGTTATATTCAGGGCCTTTGCTTGCTAGGCAGGCACTCTACTACTTGAACCACTCTATCAGCCCAAAAGATTTTACCTATATTTACTTTGATGTGCGTTTTTTTTTTTTGGTAGTACTGGTGAGTTGAATTCATGGCCTCATCCTTTCTAGGCAGGTACTGTACCACTTGAACCATGTCCCCGACTATTTCTTGGGTTTTTGAAGCAAGGACTTGCTATATAGCCCAAGCTGGCCTCAAACTTGAGATCCTCCTGCTTCAGCCTCCTGAGCATTGGGACTATAGGCATTCCCTACCACACCCAGCTCTTTGCATTAATTTATTGCCTTTTCTATTTCCTCAGCAATAACTTGTTGATACTATGTGCCCATTTTTCTGTTGGTGTTGATTTGCAGGAACAAATTATTTATATACTGTAGATAATAATCCTTTGTTGGTCTTTGCAAATATTTGCTCTGGTCTGTCATTTTAACTTTTTAGTTTCAAAACTGAAGGGCTGGCGAAGTGGCTCAAGCGGTAGAGCACCTGCCTAGCAAATGTGAGACCCTGAGTTCAAACCCTAGTACTGCCTCCCACACCAAAAATAAAAACTCAAACTGTGAGATCCTGTCTCAAAAAACAAAACAAAACAAACAAACAAAAAACAGGCGCTGGTGACTCACGCCTGTAATCCTAGCTACTCAGGAGGCAGAGATCAGGAGAATCATGGATCAAAGCAGCCCTGGCAAATAGTTCTTGAGACCCTATCTCAAAAAAACCCATCACAAAACAGGGCTGGTGGAGTGGCTTAGGTGGTGGAGCACCTAACTAGCAAGTTTGAGGCCCTGACTTCAAGCCCCAGTGCTGCCAAAAAAAAAAAAATCTTACTTGTCCTTGTGGATATTCTTACCTGGATGAATTTTATTTTTTGGTGCTGGGGGTGGATCCCACCACCTTGTGCAAGTTAAACACATCTCTGCCACGGAGCCTCCCCAACCCCAGAAGGACATCAGAGCAGCCTCATTACCGTCCATTTTAAGGCTCCCTGTAGACTTCTGTGGGAACTTCAGGAGTTAGAGGACTATCAAAAGCCCCTCCCTGTGCTTTTTCCTGACCTGTTGAGCCACTGGGTCCTTGTCCTGGAGACTGGGGCAGGGACCCTTTTCCAGTATCAATCTGCAGCTCAGGCCTTGCTTCTTCCTATGTGAAGACCACAGGCCGCCCAAGTCAGGTGCACCCCTGAGCAGCTGTGGTAGGTTTGGCCACAGAAACTAAAGGCCTTGCAGCCCCCAAACTGGGCTGGTGTGGGCACAGAGTACTGCTGTCCTGGCAGGGCTCTGCGCCGCCCCACCGAGAGTGGGAAGGGGCTGCCTCCCACCTCTGAGAAACCCTCGCTGTGTTCTAGACAAATACAATGACTTCATTGAGGCCAATCGCATTGAAGACTCCAGGGAGCGGATGAAGACGCTGCGGAAGCTGGTGAGGAAAAGGGGTGCTTAAGGGCAGAAGAGGGTGGATGGCATTAGGCCCGGAGCCCAGTGCCAGTTCCCCCCACAACCTTGGAGAAGCCCTCCTCCCCTCAAAAACTGTAGGCCTCAGTTTCTCAATCTATAAAGTAAGAAGGGCTCCCAGAGGTGTGGCAGAGGGGCATGGCAACGGTGGGGTGGGAGAGGCCGTCACGGTCTGGACCCTGCCTTTTCTTGCCCACCCAGATCCGGGATCTCCCAGGACACTACTATGAAACGCTCAAATTCCTTGTGGGTCATCTCAAGACCATTGCTGACCACTCAGAGAAGAACAAGGTGAGTGGGGCTCCCGCATGGGATCTGGGGAAGGAAGCAAAAGACTCAATGGGGACCTGCCCTCCTCCCAGAGCCATCCTATCCCTGTGCCACCCACTGTGTGCCGGCCATTTACTGAGTTGTTGAGGGTCACCTGAAGGCAGATGGCCACAGTCTGTGTGTGATTGGAGATCTGTCCTCCGGTCTTGCTCAAAACCCTTGCATTGTGTTTTCCTAATCAAACCACCTACATCTTTTAGTTCTGCAGTGGAGAAAATGAGGGAAGTGATAGGATTTCCTATCTAAAATATCCTTGGAACTTCCATATGTCTCCCACATCAGCCCCCTCGTCCCCCGTCCCCTCTCCAGCGTGAACCACTCTGCTATCCTGAACAGGTGTGCAGGTTGGGCACTGTACGTGGTTGCCAAGCCTGGGGAGGAGACAGATGGAAATCTGGCCTGTGCTCTTATTTACCAAGCATCTCCATGCCCATACAAGATGTCCAGCTCCTACTCTAGGACAGCTCAGGATGAGGTCAGGGATGGAGGTCTCAGGAGCCTGGAATGAGGGAGAACCAGGAGGTGATGGTCAGCGCTCATAGTGCTGACCCTGGCCTGCTTCCTCCCCTACCCAGATGGAGCCCCGGAACCTGGCCCTTGTCTTCGGGCCAACACTGGTGAGAACATCTGAGGACAACATGACAGACATGGTGACCCACATGCCTGACCGCTACAAAATTGTGGAGACACTGATCCAGCACGTAAGCACCTGTTGTGTGCGTGGATGTCACCAGACACCCTGGACCCCCATGCTCCTCCTGTTCGGCCGGGGTTGGCCTGCTCAGGGCAGTACTTGGCATCTGAAGAGAATGCTGCTGGGGTGGCATGGGCTCTTCAGCTGCGATAGGCCACATTTTCAGGCAAAAAAGAAACCCTAGGATGTCAGATCCTTGGCAGAGGAACCAGGAGGCCCCCCAAGCTTCCAAGATTTACATGAGTCTCAGGGAGGAGAGGTAGAGGAGGCGCCGCTAGCGGGAGGGGGGAAGTAGTGAATGCAGAAGTCCTTCAGAAGGCAGCCTCAGGAGAGGTGTCTGGAAGAGAGGCACACAGGTGCAGAGGTCTCACCTGGGTGTCAGGAGGCTTTACCACTTTCCCCATTGCCCCAATCGGTTCTGGAGTAATGTGGGGCAGATGGAGCAGGGCACAAGGCAGGATTCTACACTGCCGCCCACGTCTAGGACTGATTCTCCTCTCTTCTGGCTCCCTGGAGAGGCCAAGAACCCCGAGATCCTGCAGATTCTTGCTGGCCAGCAGAGGGCACAGGAGGCCTCAGTCTTCCAGAGTCAAACCCAAAGACAGCGCTGCCCCTTGTGGGGACTTTGGGATGGTTTGATAAATCATCAGAGTTCCTGTTTCCAAATCCTGTTGCAATACAACCACAAGGGTTGACTAGAGACCCTCCAGATTGGCAGCTGGTCTGAGGAAGCGAGCAGCAGCCTCCACCTTACAGATGCTTTACCCGAGAAAAGTCAGATCCTATTCCTCCACTTTAAAGATGAGGAAACTGGGCTCAGAGAAGCGCTGACTCGTTCAAAGTCACACAGCCCCAGGTTTTTAATCCAGTTCTGTCTGCCTAGAGTCCGTCTGCCCCTCCCCACCCACCGGGAGGATAGATTCCTGGTTCCCTCTGGAGGGCTGCTGCTGGGTCAGGGAAGTGAGCAGTGGCTGTCTTGGCCATGCTGATTGGCCTGCCTGCTCGATCCCCTCCACCACATGCTCAGAGCTCTGGCCACGGGAAGGAGCATGGGGACCACTCCAGGGCTATAGGGGAGATGAGGCCATTGCATATTGCTGGAATCCTGATGAGCTCTTGGCTGAGTTTAGGTTCCCAAGTACTGGGAGTCCTAGAGTCTCCTATGAGTGTGTGCTGTGGGGGTCAGCAGTGGGGAAGAAAGGGTGCCTGGCACCCTGGCTGGGGGAGAAGCCACTGGAAGCTGAGGCCTGTGGTCAGCTGAAATGTCAGGAACAGCAGGGAGAAAGGAGGCCCAAAGCTACTCTTTCCCAGACTCCCAGAAGGGCATCCTTTCCTACAAGGCAGTGGTAGGGAGCATATCTGTCTCAGCATCTAGCCTAGTGCCTGGCACATAGTGAGCTCTTGGTGTTCATTGAGTGAGTGAGTGAACTGCTAATTGAGACTATGTCAGACTGGGCTTTTCCACTCTGAGATCCACTCGTGAAAACCTGCTGAGTCCATAACCACCATTCTCTGCCTCCTTGGCATGTGAACATCAGTAGCCCTAGATGATGGTCAAGGAAATGAGCCACCCCTCCACAGCCCTTGAGCCTGCCCACCCAAGGGTGGGGGAGCTGCCTGGCCCAAGGGCTATGAGCAGGAGCTGGATAGCCAGGCAGGGATTAGACTGCAGAGACTGAGCCTGGCCATCTGTGACTGCTGGAGTTAGTGGGTAACATTACTCTTCCTGGGACTTTCAACTTTTGCCTGGATCTCTTGTCATCAGAGAAGCCTAGGGCATCTGAGTATCCAGACCAAACCTCATGCAGTAAAGATGGTATGGACAGAGGTGGGATAAGGAGCTCAGGCTCACACAGCAAGGCAGTGGCCGAGTGGAGATGAACCCCAGACCCAAATGTTCACTCTCCCAGCAGAAGTCACTGATCAGCCCATCCCTGTTTGCCAAGTCAGCTGGAACACAAAGGCCACCACCTCAAGGCAATTAGTCACTTACTACTCATCAAACATGTGACATTGATGTTTCCCAGTCTTAGCACTAATGACCTCAAGAGACAGACGCTTGCTTTCTTTGCTATTTTTATTAGCATACATTAATAGTACAAGGGGTTCATTGTGACAATGCCATAGAATTTTTTTGAACTGAGGACCTGTCCTTGTTAGGTAGGCACTCTGCCACTTGAGCCACACCTTCAACCCAGATGCTTTTTTTTTGACGGCCCTACAATAAAGAAGTGTCTTCAGGTGCCAGTGGCTCCTACCTGTAATCCTAGCTACTCAGGAGGCAGAGATCAGGAGGATCGCAGTTCGAAATCAGCACAGGTAAATAGTTCACAAGACCCTATCTGGAAAAAACCCATCGCAAAAAAAGGGGTGACGGAGTGGCTCAAGTGGTAAGAGCACCTGCCTAGCAAGTGTAAGGCTCTGAGTTCAAACCCTGGTACCGCAAGAAAAAAATGTCTTCAGACATTGCCAAAGCCTCCCCCATGGTCAAAATTGCCCTGGTGTAGAGGCTGAGGGCACAGGTTCTGGAGCCAGAAGTCTTTCAGCCTCTTCATGCCTCAGTTTCCTCATCTGTAAAGTGGAGATAACACGAGTTAATAGCAATAAAGCACTGAAAACAGCCTAGCAGTCAGGGAGTGTTGTATTCATTAGCTGTCATCATCATCAGCCCTAGTCAATGCAAGACTCAGAGCCGGTTCTGCAGACACGGCGATGACTGGAACACTGTCTTGAGGACAGTGTTTTCTTGTGTTCTGTGCTATGCCCTGGGAAGCACCGCAGGACACCCCTTCTTCCTCCCCTAGCCCTAGAGGTAGTCAGGGAGTTCTGGAACTGTCTTGGAAGACCACAGGAACTTAGCCAGGCAGAAAAGGGAGAAAGCATTCCAGGCAGAAAGAGGGAATGGCACATCCAGAAGTTGGGTGACATGAACTAGTGGTTTTCCAGAGAGCCATTAGCTATCCAGAAGCTTCCTGTGACCTCCCTGGTCCCCGGGCCACTTTTTGCACTCTCCACCCTGAGCTGGAGCTGCTTCTTTGGGTCAGTCCTCAAGCTTTCTTTGGTCAGCCTGTCTCTGGGGACCACACCTTTTCATAATAGCTCACTTTTTTTTTTTTTTTTGGTGGTACTGTGATGATTTGAACCTGGGGCCTTGCACTTGGCGAGGCAGGTACTGTAGCACTTATACCATGCTCCAGCCTTAGCTCACATTTATCATATGCCAATGTGTCATACTCAGTGCTTTACATACAGTATTTCATTTTAATCCTCACCACAAGTCTGGAAGTAGGTGCTCACATTACACTCACTTTGCGGAGAAGTAGGCTCGAAGAGGTAAAGGACCTCACTCAAGGTGGACTTGAACTTGACAGAACTTCTTTCTGTCACTTTTTTACTGTGCTGTTCGTTCGAGTTAATCCTGCCTGACTGTGATTAGGCACAATGGAGGTGGGTGGTGTGTGGCTGCACAGTCCTCCTTGTTTTTGCTGCCATTGCTGACTTGGCTGACCTCTCCCCTCCCCTAAGTACTCAACCACACGTTAAGAAGTATTGGACTGGTGGAGTGGCTCAAGTAGTAGGATGCCTGCCTAGCAAGTGTGAGGCCCTGAGTTCAAACCCCAGTACCACCAAAAAAAAAAAAAAAAAAAAAAAACCTAGCAAAATCAAGAGGAAGATACAGAGATTTTCCATATACCCCCGGCTCTCCCACACGTACCCCGTTAGCCACACCCTCCAATGATACCATTAGGGAACTCACACTGATCACACTATAATCACCCAGGACTAGGGTGCAGTTCATGGTAGAGTGCTTACCTAGCACACGCAAGGCCTGGGCTCCATCCCCAGCACTGGAAAAAACATCTGCTGGGCCTGGTGATTCACATCTAATCCCAGCTACTGGAGAGGATAGAGGTTCGAGACTGGCCAGGGTAAAAACACAAGATCCTAATTGAAAAATAACCAGAGGAAAAAGGACTAGAGGTGTAACTCAAGTAGTAGAGTGCTTGTCTAGCAATTGCAAGGCCCTGAGTTCAAAACCTTAGCATTGCCCCCCTAAATCTGACGGCTTAATGTCTTAATTACCTGAAGTTCATAGTTGACCTTAGAGTCAACTATGGTTTTGAATGAATGTATAATGCCGTCTATCCACCGTTGTAGTATCATACAAAGCATTGTCACTGTTCTAAAACTCCTCTGTGCTTTGCCTGCTCATCATCCCTACCATAACCCTTTTACTGACTTTATAGTTTTGCTTTTTCTAGAATGTTGTATAGTTGGAATTGCCTGGTACACACATTTGTAATGCATAGATTAAATTAGTAATGTGCAGAGAATTTACCTCCAAATCTTTTCCGGGCTTGATAGCTCATTTCTTTAATATCCCATTGTCTGGATGTGTCATGGTTTGTCCATTCACCTACCAAAGGACATGCGTTCATCAGCTTTTTTGTCAGTGTAATGAAATATCTGAGATGATTAACTTAACAATTGTTAGGCAAAAGGTTTATTTTGGCTCATGATTCTGAAGGTTCTAGTTCATGACTAAGTGTCTCCATTGCTTTTAGCCTCTAGTGAGCCAGCCCATGATGTCTGAAGTGCATAGAGGGGCAAAATCTCCCACCTCCAGGCTAGGAAGAGGAACAGAGTGTGGGCTGGTCCCACAGTCTCCTTAAGGTTACACCCCCGATGACCCAAATTGTTCCCATGAGGCCCTACCTACTAAAAATTCTACTGACTCTCAATAGTGCCATCTGGGCACCAAGTCTTTAACACATGAACCTTGGCAGTGACACATCCAAACAAGCCATCGCAGACATCTTGACTGCTTCCAAGTTTGGGCAGTTATAAATAAAGCTGCTGTAAACATCTGCCTGCAGTTTTTGTGTGGACTTAAGTTTCAACTCCCTTGGGTTGATGCCACTGAGCACAATTGCTGGATAATATGGAAGGAGCATATTTAGTTTTGCAAGAAACCACCAAACTATGTCCCAGAGCAGTTGTACCGTTTTGCACTCACACCAGCAGAGGAGGAGAGTTCCTGTTGTTCCACATTCTTGTCAGCATTTGGAGCTGTCAATGTTCTGGATTTTGGCCTAATTCTAAGAGCTGTGTAGTGATACCTCATTGTTCTTCCATTTGCATTTCCTGATGTCATATGATGGGGAGAACCTTTTCACAACATATTTGCCATCTGGGTTTCTTCTTTGATGAGTGTTCAGGCTTTTGCTCCCCCCCCTTTTTTTTTAAATCAGATTCTTTGTTTTTCTCCCATCTAAGTACTAACCAGGCCCGACCCTGGTCAGCTTCCAAGATCAGACGGGGTCGGGAGTGTTCAGGGTGGTTGGCCATAGAACTTTGTTTTCTTATTTGTGAGTTTTAAGAGTTCTTTGTATGTTTCCTATAATTGTCCTTTATCAGATGTATTTTCTCCCAGTCTGTAGTAGCTTGTCTTTTCATCCTCTTAATTTATCTTTTGCAGAGCAAAAATTTTTAATTTTGGTGGATTCTATCTTATCAATTATTTCTTTGTGGATTGTGCCTTTGGTGCCATATCTAAAAAGTCATTTCAGACTCAGGGCTCAAGGGTGTCTGGGTTTTCTCCACAGATTTTTTTTTCTTGCGGTACTGGGACTTGAACTCAGGGCCTACACCTTGAGCCACTCCACCAGCATTTTTTTTTTTTTTTTTTGTGAAGGGTTTTTTCAAGATAGGGTCTCATGAACTATTTGCCGGGATGGCTCTGAACCTCAGTCCTCCTGATCTGTGACTTGTGAGTAGGTAGAAGTAAAGGCATGAGCCACCAGTGCCCAGCTTATTGCTTATTTTATTCCATTATGAGCCGAGAATGTTGTCTGCATAATGCTGACTTGGAGGAACTCTGACACAGGGTTCCACAGTGGCCCAGAGAATGGTTGGCTTTAAAATGATTCACCTGTGTTCTGTTCTTTCTTTTTCTTTTCTTTCTTTCTTTATTTTTGCTTTCATTTATTATTTTTTTCATGTGTGTTCTGAAAGAATATATTTTCTCTCATGGTTGAAGACAAGGTTCTAAGTATATCTATTAGGTCACACTTGTTAAGTGTGTTGTCCAGAATATCTGTATCTTTTTTTAAAAAATTTTTTTCTTTTATTCATATGTGCATACAATGTTTTGGTCATTTCTCCCCTCTTTGCCCGAATATCTGTATCTTTATTTTTTGTCTGCTCAATTAGCTATAATATTTAATTTTTCTAGTCCTGTTGCAGTTCTATGAATTGTTGTTTAACGTATATTAAGATATGTTAGATGCATATATACTGTGATTTACAGTGCTTCTTGATCTATTGTTGCTTATACCAGAATGTAATATTCCTATGACTCATGATTTTTTATAGTTCCTATGTTGTTTTATTTAAATGCTTATAGACAACACCTTTTTAATTTAAAAAATGTAATTAGTCTCTAACTTTTGAGTTTAACTCATTTTTTTGTACTTTCTATACCAGTAGGACTTATTTCTGCCATCTTAAATTTTATTTTCTGTTTACCATATATTGTCATTTTATTTCCTTTTTATCTGTCCTATTTAGCTTCAGATAGATGGAATTTGATTTCCTAATATGAAATTATACATTCTATTTTTATTCTGGAAATTATCACCATAGAACCCCATGTTTATGTTTCTTCACTGTCAACTTCCAAAGCTTGTTAGTGTCAGTGCATTTTTTTTTTTTTTTCAGTGCTGGGGCTTGAACTCAGGGTCTTCACCTTGAGCCACTCCACCAGCCCTTTTTTGTGAAGCGTTTTTTTTGAGATAGGTCTTGGGAACTATTTGCCCGGATTGGCTTCAAACCAAGATCCTCCTGATCTCTGATTCCTGAGTAGCTAAGATTACAGGGGTGAGCCACCGATGCCCAACCGTGTCAACGCCTTTCTCTCACATCTACCTTAGCTACTCTCACCTGTTACTGGTTTCCCAATCTGAATTTGATCTCCAGATTGTTACGAATATACTCTGTGTGGTTTTGTGTGTATGTTTCATTGCTTATTTTGATAACAGTTGTCTTTCCTGTGCTATTTTTTCATCCTTCTCAGAGCTCGTCTCTTCCTCGTGCATGGATTTATTTCCTTACTTGCTCAAGTACTGTTCAGAGAGTCTTTGTGTAGTAAACTTTCTGATTTCTTCGAATAGCTTCATTTCACCTTAAATGAGAGTTTAGCAGGTATAAAACTCAAGGTAAAAATTTCCTCACTTCAATATTCCTTCAACACATAAAAGCCTTACTTTTCTGCCTTTCCAGGTCTGTTTCTGCTGAAGTTCTAAGGACATGCCATACTTGATCATTTGTAACGATCAGATTTTTTTCTTTTTTCTTCCTTTTTTTTTTTTGACACAGGGTCTTGCTATGTAGCCCAGAGTGGCCTGGAACACACTATATAATTTAGGCCGGCCTCAAACTTGCGAGCCTTCTGCCTCAGCTCCTAAGTGCTAGGATTGCAGATGTACATCACAATGCCTGGCCTTGATTTTTTTCTTTTAAAGAAAACATTTAGAAATGTTTCTTCAACATTCTCAAATTTCATAAGATATTTTTAAGTGCAAGATTTTTATTTTCTATCCTGTTTGGCATTTATGAGAAAGCTCTTGCCTGCCCGCCCCTGAGGGAACCTCCTAAGACCTTTTTCTGGGCAGGAAGTGTGAAACCTGGGCACACGCAGCTTCTGCAGCCATGTCTGGCCTTTTCTCGCCAGTGCACCTGGCTGGCACTAGAGGGCACTGCTGCCCCCAGCCTTCAGTCTGGCTGTGAAGACTGCACAGTGAAGTGCCGAGGACCTTGGTTGGTCTCCCCGAGCCTGTCACCTGTCTGTGGTGGCCCCTCTTATACTCAGGGCTATGTTTCCTCCCACACTGAGGTCTCTAGTTGGTGGAGCTGTATTCCAGGGTTCATCAGCCTCCCTCTGAACCCCCCTGCCTGGGCTAATTCAGAGAGGGGGGCACCCTAGTACCTGTGGGTCCTCGGGCCAGCAGGTTGAGGAGCCCTTGTCTTGCTGTTCCCTCAGACCTCCCCACACTGATTTTGCCCCATCCTTTTGTCTCCTCTGCAGTCAGACTGGTTCTTCAGCGATGATGAAGACAAGGGAGAGAGAGTAAGTGATGAGAGGATGGGTGAGGTCTGCTCTGAGGTGGGCCCTTGTCCTGGGTAGGAGTGGGCAGCAAGACTTAAGCAGAGGAAGGTCCCTGCTCTGCACCACCTTCAATCTGATGGAGAAGACACAGTCCTTTCCTTCATGAGCCCCCAGTCTGACGGGGAGAGACACAGGTCTTGCTCTGAGGAAACTCAGTTCAGTGATGCAGGCTGTCCCAGCCCTCCAGCTTCATGTGAAGGGTGTGGGAAGCTCCAGTCTGATGGGGGAGGCATGGCTGTTGTCCTCAGCTAAGGGAAGCATCTCTAGGAAAGGCACAAAACAGTCCTGTGGGAGCCATGTAGACCTGCCCTCCAGAGGACCTGCCTGCTGAGGGAGACAGTCCCACCCCTTGCGAGCCCTGGTCTGACACCAGGGCACCCTGTTCTGAGGGGTCAAAGTCTAGTCATCTGAGCCTGCTGGCTGACTCCTTCTGTTTGCAGACCCCTGTGGATGACAAGGAGCCTCAATCGGTGCCCAACATTGAGTACCTCCTGCCCAACATAGGCAGGACAGTGCCCTCTGGTGACCCAGGCTCAGGTGAGTGCAGGGGCCTGGGAGGGGTTAGGGTGGGGGTGGCCTTTGCCTTCCTGAGGGTCCCAGATGCCTGGCCAGACACCCAGTTCCCCTGCTTCTACCCCTGCGGGGCCCTGGCTTGCCTCAGCCTGAGCTGGGGCTGTTGCAGACCTTCTCCTTTCTGGGGAAATCTGCTCAGCCACCCCTGCCCAGTTTGGCAGGGCTTTGTTCTTCCTCTTTCACTGGTCTCTTTCCTGAGCCTTCAATTTCTCATGGGCTGGCAGTGTCTTCTGGGTACATTCCTCCTTTTAATTTTTCTTCCTTTTCTTTCTTGCACCCTGCCCCTCCTCTTCTCCTGTGCTATCCTTCCCCATCCCCTCCATCCCGACCCTCTCTTCTCCTACCGCCTCCCTCCTCCAGCGGACCTGTTGGAGATTTAAAGGGTACAGTGCAGTGTTGCGGCCTCGGTCACTAACAGTAGCCGGTGATTATAAGAAGGCTGGGCAGGCCTGAGGGGCAGACAGAAATGTCCTGGGCAGGGAGGACTACCCCCTGACGTACAAGTTACCTGTGCTGATACACACCTGACCCTGGGCACCCCTCCCTGTCCTAATGCTCCTTTTCAGCGGGGGATAGCTGGCCATCAGGTGACTGCCCTTCCCAGCTCCCAAGCTCCATGGCCTTCTCTCTAAGTAGAGCCTGGCCACCTCAGGTTATCGAGGATGAGGGAAGCTTAGCCAAGGACCCAGCCTCTGCAGGGACCAGTAATGCCACCCCCAGAAACCATTCTAGAGCTGTAACTCCTGCCTCAGTTCAGGCTCTGGTTACTCAGCTACTAAGTCCTATTTCAGGGACCTCTCACAGCAGAGGACAGATAACTTCTGTGCTCAGAGGCAAATGAATTGCTTTTCCCTTCTTGGCTTCAGTTGCTAGCTCCTCCCACACTGTGACACCCTGTCCTTGGTATGTCCAGCTCCTGTCTCAGACAGAGGCACCCTACAGCAGCCCTAGTTGTGAGACCCAGGCTGGGGGTGGTGGCAGAGAGGCCCCCCGTCTCTTCTAATCACCTGCTGCCACCCGCCCGGTGTGTGTCACGTGTGCTCAGCCCATCTTGCTCTTCTCACCGTGTGCAGGGGAAGGGGGCTGGGGAGGGGGCCTCTAACTTGCCTGCCAGAGAGTGTGGATTAACTATATCTGCCCACCACCCTGGGAGACCTTTGGACCAACCTGCTCCCTCTCCAGCCTTGGAGGGGATGCTGTCAGGACTTGTTTCTGGTTCCTTCTCCACCCAGGGATATTAACAAAGTGGAACCCTAGTCTCACAGATGTGATGCTTTTTCCATACTTTAGAACTCATTGTAATTGGGGACCTTGCCCCTAAGGGCACGTTGACCTTGGCTTTATTGCCAGCCCACTGTACCCCCACTGTGTCCCCCACCTTCATTTCTGCCTCATTACTTCATCATTCACGTGGCCCCTCGTCCTTCTCATGTCTTGGGGGGGCAGGGGATGTAGGGGTCGGTAGACATCCACTTTCCTATGCACTGTGTGGTCTCCATTTCTCCAGAGCATCTGTGATTTGCTGTGTTTGGCTGTTGTCGTTTCTGTGGACTGCATTGATATTTGGCATTTTTCTCTCCAGTGCTTCCAAGTAACAGGGATAGTAGCGGTAGGGGAAAGGAGCCAGGTCCAAAGAAAAGCCCCTCCTCACTGCCCTTAACCCGGGCAAATGAGGGCCCAGGAGTAGACAGCCTGGTGTCATTTCCTGTCTCTAAAGGAAATGGTGACTGACATCATTTTGTGCTTCAGCTCCATCCTGTAGAAAATGCCATCAGAGTCCATCACACTCCTAGGGTCTGGGAAGAATGCCCTGGCTTCTGAAGCCTTTGAGGCAAGGGAATTGAGTTCACAAGATTCAGCCTTCTCAGTCCTGATTCCGCTTTCGGTTTTCTTTACAGATTCTACCACCTGTAGTTCAGCCAAGTCCAAGGTAAGTAACGAGGCCATTCTACAGGCTTTCTCCCTATTCAAGCCAGCCCACTTTGGGTTGTGGTCAAGAGAATTGGGAGAATGGCAGTTGGACCATGAGAAAAGGTGAGAAAGACCGTGTCCAAGCTAAGAAGTAGCTCACTTTGGCAGTGCATGGTGAGGCATCTGATGTGGTAGAAGGGTCTGGGCTGGGAGTTCGGTGGCCAAGGGGCAGTGTGGTGCAGTGGATAGAAGCACAAGCTCTGGAGTCAGACAGTCCTGAGTCCTGGTTCTACCACTTAGTAGTTTTGGAACATTAGGCAAATTATGTAATCTCTTTCTGATCTCCAGCTTCCTCATACGTTAAAATGGGGATAATAGGTATGTTTGATATAATAAATAATTATTCTTTAATGTCTTTGGGAGCCTAAAGCAAGCAAAAGGAAGGGAACAATAAAGATAAGAGCAAGCCAGGTACCAGTGGCTCACACCTGTAATCCCAGTTACTTGGGAGGCTGAGATCGAGAGGATTTGCCCAAGGCCAGTCTGGGCAAATAGCCTGGGAGACCCCGTCTCCAAAATAATCAGAGCAAAATGGGCTGGAGGTGTGGCTCAAGCAGTAGAGTGTGCAAGTGTGAAGCCCTGAGTTCAAACTCCAGTCCACCAAAAATAATAATAAAGATAAGAACAGAAATTAATGAAATTGAAAACACAGAAAAATCAGTGAAACCAAAAACTGGTTCTTTAAAAAGAAACCAATAAAATCGATAAGCCTCTACAAGCCAGATTGACAGAACAAAAAGAGATGGTACAGATTACCAATGCCAGGGATGACACAGAGATATCACTAGAGACCACACAGTCACTAAAAGGATAATCAGAGAATATGATGAGCAACTCTGTGTCCATAAACTCTGTAACTTAGAAGAAACAGACCAATTCTTTGAAAGATTCAGACTATATAAAACCCACATAAGTAGAAATTCAAGTTCTACTAAAGAAATTGAAAACTCCGCATGCACACAATTTCCCTGGTGGATTCTACCAAATATTCTAGGAAGACAGATAAATAGACAATTTTTTTTTTTGAAAACAGCGTCTCAAGGGTGGCCTTGACCTCAGTATATAGCCCAGACTCAACTTAAACTCATAATCCTGCTGCTGAGTGCTGGGATTACAGGTGTATGCCACCATGTCCAGCTTATTTTTTATTTTAAACAGTTCATATATTTAAATATTTTAAAAATATTTTAATTATAAAAATAATGTAATTTTAAAATAATCATGTACTACATAATGACATTTTGGTCATTAATGGACCGTGTATATGACAATGGTCCCCTATAACCTAGGTGCACCATAGTAGGCTATACCATCAGGTTTGTAGAAGTGCACACTGTGATGTTCACATGACAAAATCACCTAAAGACATAGGACATGCATCGTGTTATTAAGCAGCACACAACTATAATTGAATAATATTTAAATAATTATTTAAACAAATCTAATTCTTTAAATGTCATTTAAATATTTATTTTTAAAATATCAATTCTCCGTGATCTCTTCTGGAAGACAGAAGAAGAACACTTTCAAACTGTTCTATGAGGCCAGCATTACCCTGCTAACAAAATCTGACAGTGTTTCTGCAGATAGGGTTATTCATTTAATCACACCATAAATACCTACTGAACATCTGCGTGTCAGAACTGTGCTGTGGACTGAAAATATAATAATGAGCCAAACAGAGGTCCCCAGCCTGCAAGACTTATCTTCGACTTATCTTCGAGGGGGGACAGACATTCTGCTGATAAGCAAATAAGGACTAGCCCTGTGGGGAGGTTGAGGCACAATAGAGGCAGAAGCCAGGTGAGAACAAGCCAGCTCCCAGGTGAGGAAGACAGGGAGCTTCCACACACAGCTCTTTTGATAAGCCTGGCTGTGAAGAGATATTCAGAGCAAAAAATGCAAAGCCACATGGGTGGAGGGAAGCTTGCTTTAGGAGAGATGAGACACTGAGCCCCCCCCCTCCCAGGCAGGAGAAGACCCCTCTCCAGGGAAACAGCAAAGGAGGGAGGAAACAGGTGGCACAGCCACAGGCAGTGTTGATTGTTGGTAGCAGGACCCTCCTTAGTGATGGCTCTTTCTTGGGTGAAGTAGGTGAGGACCTCAGCTCTGAGCAAAGGAGGTGGGGTAGGTTGGGCAGAGTGAAGGAAATCTGCAAATGGGTCCCAAGAAACCAGGCGAATTTCCTGATGGAGTCTGTTATGGGTGGGGTGGAGGTCTCTGCTGTGGCAGCCGTGGCTTCTGCTCAGGAGCCAGCTCTTTGCTCAGCAGTCCTGTCATCCACACTTCTAGGAAAGTAGAAGTGGTTTTTCTAGCCAAAAGGCATCCTCTTTTGTCCCCTGTGACCACACTTATCTGCAATGGACATGGCACTGACCTCCATACAGCTCATAGGCCACTGCCTCCCTGGAGTCTCCTGGCCATAGGATTTCTGCCTCCAAGGTGCCAGCAGATTCTGGGCCTGCCTGACTTCTGCATTACCCTGGGGACTCCTCAGGAGGCCTCTGCTTGGCCACAACACCTTGAACATACACGGAAAACATGCTTCTCAGAAAGCGTGTCTTCACTGTAAATGGACTCAGACTTTACCATGACCTGGTGAGCTACTCAGAATCACTGGTGTGAGACAGAGAAGCAAACACATTTGTTGAGCACCTGCCAGGTGCCAGCAGCTGCACAGAGAACTTTCACCAATGCCTATTTCATGCCATCCTACAAAAGCCTCTGGGCTTTGTACCATCCTGTTTCACAAACAGGGAAACCAAGGCTCAGAGAGTTCACAGAACTAGCTGTTTGGGCAGGTGCTCAGGCATGGGAGGTGGGTGGGCTGGTCACGGGCCTCTTTCCATGTGAATGCTGTGGGGCCCCAGTTCTGATCCTTGGCTTTGAGGTTCTGGGTGTTTCTTTCCTGGTACAGGGATTGGATTTGTCCTCAGTATGAGGACTGGGCTGTCTGGCTTCCCCAGCACAGCCTTAATCCATTTCACCCCAAGTTCCTCATATCCCATCAGCCCTCCCCAAGCTCCAGAACTAAACTCCCCATTATCCTGACCTTCAGGGAGAACTGCCTGAAAATACTTACATTAATCACATAAACTGGAAAGATGGATTTCCCCCACACTTTGGGCCTCTGTCTGATTCCTCAAAAATCAGAGGAAAACTCTGCACCTTTGCTCCAGGAAGTCCTACCTATAAAAAACCCTGCAGCAAATTCAGCGAGTCTACAAACCTTCAAGCCCACCCAGGCCTCCAGCTCAGAGCTTCTGTGGAGGCTGTGGCAACAGTTCATCCTCACCAGTGACACCCACTATCATCACTGCTTCCAGCAATACCAACAGCTACGATTGTTTGAGCACTCTGATACACTCCTGTGCTCAGAATTATTAACCTTCACAGATGCCCTGTGAACTTAAGATAGCATTCTCCTTGTTTTGCAGCTGAGAAAACAGGAAGAACTTCTGTATCCTATTCCACATCTCACAGCCACCTAGTCGCTTGTTGCAGAGCCTGCCTTTTGACCCAGAACCCATTACCACACCTGCCCAACTGTCAGAGTACAGCTGATGGCCAGACTGGATGGCTTAGTCAGCTCGGGCTGCTATGATACCAGCAGCTTAACCAGGCGTTTATTTCCCACAGTCGTAGAGGCTAGAAGTCCAAGATAAGTTTAAGAGAGTGTTGGGTTCTGGTGAGGGCTCCCTTCCTGTTTTGCAAATGGCCTCCTTCTCATGCTGTCCTTACAGGGAAGAGGGAGAGTGTGTCTCTCGTAAGGGCACTAATTCCAACATTGGACTCCGCCCACATCTGCATTGAAACCTGATTTCTTCCAAAGGCTTCATCAACAAATACCATCACATTGGGGATTAGAACATACAAGTTTTGGGAGGGGCACAATTCATTCCATAGCAGTGGGTGAAACCAACTAACCATTGGCAGCTTGAACTAGGTTTCTCAGCACTGGCCAGGTTCACGACCTGACACCTGACAGTGTCAGTATGTGTTAGACGTGTGCACTGGACAAAAGGCTGCTGGCATCTGGTGCAGGGGTCCCCTCTAACTTAGCTCTCCCCTCTAACTTAGCTCTCCAAGGAGTCTCAGCCTGCACACCATAGTGACAGGGAGCTTACTCCATAACATGGCAGGGAGAAAGCTTGTTCCGGTGACCTGTGTCTAACTGCTTGTCACTTGCAGGCATTGCTTCTGCTAGCCCCCATGTTCCCATAGTTTCCCCTTGATCGCCCCTTGATCTTTCTGTGAATCTACTGGCTCTGCTTTCCCTTCGAGGACTCACTATGACTTCATGCACTGGAACCAGCTGGCACAAGAGGGCAATTTGATCAGATGATCCAACAAAAAGGGCTGCCCAAACTGTAAAAGTCAAGGGACTGAACAGGAAGGGTCAGTAGGGCAATGACTCCAGTGAGGCTGGATGGGGACTGAGGTCGGGGCCAGTTGTTAAGGATCCTATGTGACCCTTCAACCTGTGCTTGTCCTGGTGGGGGTGGAATCATGCAAGTCTCCAGCAAAGCTGGGAGATCAGATTCCTGCTTCAGAAAGATGGCTCCCTCCAGAGGAACTGAGTAGGGCAAGGAACCCTATTAGGAAGGGGCAGAAGGGCCTGGAAAAGGCAGAGTGAGGGCCTGTGAGAGGATGATGAGAATGAGTTGGCCTTGAGGGGGCAGAGGGGAGAAGGAGGAATCAGCAGGACCACCTTAAGGTGAAGAACGTGAATGGAGGCAGTATGGGGCAGAGTAGGTAGGACAACATGGCTCCAGATGAGGGAGTTTGAGGTGTGTGATACTAGGTAGGGATGGATTCACAGTTGGAAGAAGTCTGGAGCTCTAAGGAGAGTTTAGTATTGGACAGGGAGGCCTGGTGTAGTGATGTTTGGAAAAATTATTTTCCAGGGGGATGTGAACAGGACAGGGAAGTGGCTGAGGCCAGTCCTTGGAATTCCCTCAAGAAGCAGAGGAGAGGCAAAAGGGAGGATAAAAAGCAGGGTCCCAAAGGCCATGGTGGCAGACAGCCAGGTTCTGCTGGGCAGTGGTGGAAGACCCAGACCAAAATGCCCGCAGTGAGAGCCAGTTCAGATTCAGGTGCAGCTAGTGAGAGTAGCCAGGGCAGCTTCCATCCAAACCATCAGGTGGTATGGGGGCTTCAGCCACCTTTGGCAGCAGAGCTTCGAAAGGGAGGAAGTGAGGCAGTGGCCCTGGAGAGGCTGCCACCTAACTTTGTAAGTGGGAAGGCAGCTTTCCTAGGTGAGGGAAGTAGAGAGGAAGGAGAGTAGGAGCTTGTGGTCAAAGAGAGCGCCTGCCTGCCCTGGGGTTTGGTGTGCTGGATACTCGTGACTACAACCTGGGATGGTGTTCCTGAAGTGGGTTCAAACACTTTCTGAGGCCATCATCAGACCTGTGTCTGAAAGGATTTATCCAGGGCTGGATGTGGAACCTGGAAGGGGGTAGGAACAACAGGGATTGGGGCCAGAGGGCTTGCTGATCAGGCTTGGGGGCTGCGACCTCAGCACGGGTGGAGAGGAACATCGTATGTGCCGGCTAGGTTTCGACCCTTGCGGCTGGGGCCTGGGGTGTGAGTGAGGTGTACGTATGGTGGAGAGTGGTGAAGCCCGCAATCAGGGCTCCCCCTCATCGTCACCTGTCTCCCCGTACAGGGCTCGTGGGCGCCCAAGAAGGAGCCGTACACCCGGGAGATGCTGGCGATCTCCTTTATCTCGGCCGTCAACCGCAAGCGAAAGAAGCGGCGGGAGGCGCGGGGGCTGGGCAGCAGCACCGACGACGATTCGGAGCAGGAGGCGCTCAAACCCGCGCCGGGGGCGTCGGGGGCCCAGGAGCGGCCCGAGGGGCAGCTGCCGGCCACCGCCGTCCCCGTCCCCGCCCCCGCCGCCCCCGGGCGCCTCAGTCCCCCCGCGGCGCCCGAGGAGAGGCCGGCGGCGGACACGCGCTCCATCGTCTCGGGCTACTCCACCCTGTCCACCATGGACCGCAGCGTGTGCTCGGGCGCCGGGGGCCGGCGGGCGGGCGCGGGGGACGAGGCGGACGACGAGCGCAGCGAGCTGAGCCACGTGGAGACGGACACGGAAGGCGGCGCGGGCCCGGGGGGACGCCTGGCGCGCCGGCCCTCCTTCAGCTCGCACCACCTCATCCCCTGCGACACCCTGGCGCGGCGTCGCCTGTCCCGGAGCCGCCCGGATGGCGAGGGCGCTGGTGCAGGCCGGGGGACACCCCGCGCCCCAGACCCGCCCGGCTCCGCCTCGTCCAGCAGCCAGGAGTCGCTGCGGCCCCCGGCTGTGGCGGCGCTGAGCGTGCGGCCCTCGCGCATGGAGGCCCTGCGGCTGCGCCTCCGCGGCACTGCCGACGACATGCTGGCCGTGCGGCTGCGGCGGCCGCTGTCGCCCGAGACGCGGCGACGCCGGAGCAGCTGGCGCCGCCACACCGTGGTGGTGCAGAGCCCGCTGACAGACCTCAACTTCAACGAGTGGAAGGAGCTGGGCGGAGGGGGTCCTCCAGAGCCCGCGGGCGCGCTCGCCCACAGTGACAACAAGGACTCCGGCCTCAGCAGCCTGGAGTCCACCAAGGCGCGGGCCTCGTCGTCCGCCACCTCGCTGCCGCCAGGGGACCCGGGGACTCCGCGCCGCTCGGCCGCCTCCCGCCTCCATCATTGTCTGTGACACCATCCCAGAACCCCTTTGGCTGGCACCCCGTCTTCGGCTGCCCCTGACGCAGTGGGGGTGGCAGGGGGACTTAGGCTTCTGGGGTCCGAGGGATCCCTGGGGTTTGTGTGCTGGGACGGGGAAGGGGGGCGGCAGAGGGAAAGCCGGAGCAGGACAGGGGTGACGGCAAGGGGGATCCCGAGGTAGTGAGAGGGGAGGAGCTGCCGGTGTCTGTGTCCCCTGGGTATGTGACTGGGCCTTTTTATGGCTGCACTTAGGTACCCTTCTTGGCCACGGGAGGCGGGAGCTCCAAGTTCCAGGCTAAGCGAAAGATACTGACTGCGTGACTCCGGCTTCTTTCCCCTGCCCTCCCCCCCCTTAGCTCCTGGCTAAGGAGGGGAGTTCGGATGGGGGAGGGGTGGGGGAGGAGGCGTGTGTGTGTGTGTGTGTGAGTGTGTGTAGTCACTGTCTAAAGGTGTTTCCAGTAGCAACTTTTGCCCCACTCCCTCATTTCCCTGCCATTGGTGCACACAGGATCCCTGTCCCCATGCTTGTCCGAGCCAGAGGGGGACTGGAACCACTCCATAGAGGCAGGACTGAACCCCTCAGCAGGATCATCCCCACGCCCTTTGCCAACCTCTCAGTCACCCCTCTAAACGCTTTGACCATGGGGGGCTGCCTGCTCCCCATAGTTTTGGGAGGGTTCAGAGTCTCACCTGCTGGCCAACTCCCCCCTCCCTTTTGTTCTTCCAGCTGTGCCTGCTCTTTCCACAGCTCAGCACACAGACCCCTTCCTTCCCCTCAGGAGGAGACAGTCGGAACTCCCGGGGTGTGTCTCTTTCATACACTGACTTAACGGGGCTCTGAGCTGGGCTGTTCCTGCAGGGTGGGGACCCAGCCCCCATTCTTCTCTCATTTTGTAAATAAACCTCAGAGCACCAGGTCCTGACCCCTCACTCATTCCGTGGAAGCCCAGGTGGGGTTGGGAACCCCACTGCTACTTCTCTTGTTTTATGCAAAGACTTGCTGTAAAGTAGATTTCTCTCTCCTCCCTCCCCCATCCTTTTATTGTAAATATTGTCTCTAAATGTGTAACATATTATAAAGAATTTATAAGGATTTTTAAAGATGTTTTGCTCATTTTAAAAAAACGTGTTGTAACAGTGTTGGATAAAGCCCGCCCTCACCCCACTGCGTGCATGGCTCCTTTCACCGTGTCCTTGGCACACCCTCTAGGCAACAACTAAGATTTCCTGCTTCTGAAAAGTCCTGTCGAAAAGTACAGTCTCTATCTTGGAAATAAATGGCTTTCCTTGAGGCGCGAGTCAGCTGTCTCACTTGTTTGGGAGGGAGGAGAGGGACAGCAGGGCAGGGATGGGAGAAAAGTGAGGGACCTGGCTCACAGAAGGAAGGCAACAGGGCTAGCTAGATGGTACAGGGGGCAGGGTTGAGGCAAACTGGTGGCTTTTTAAAAATTTCCCGGGAGACTGGTACTAGCAGTGCGATTGGCATGCAAGCAGGGAGGGTGAAGTCCCCGTTGTAGCAGAAGGCTTCCAGGGACCGGGGCTCCTGCAGAGTCCAGGCAGGTGTTTGGCTCCTGCTTCTCCGGCATACCAGAGAAGTGGTCTCAGAGATGCTGCCTGACAGACAGGAGGCTTAGCCAGCTGTCATCACAGGCACTCCAGCCACCAAAAAACTGGGGTTTGCTTGTTGTCTTAGTCACATGTAACTTGCAACAGAAAGTTGGGCCTCCCTCTCTGTCATGGCTCTGTACCTGTTACTGCCACTTTCCAGGCTGCCTCTGATGAGCCTATAGTGACTTCAGGAAAAGCAGGTGACATTCATCAGAGAGAATCTAAGCAGGAGCACTAGGGGCTGGGAAGAGCTCACTAAATGTTCCTGACCCCACATGAGTTAAGTGCTAGTGCTGGTGTGGGTTCAGCACCAGCCCCAGGGACTTTGCCTGTCTTAAATCATGTCCCCAACACTCTTGAGCTCAGCACCATTGTGTCTATTCTGTATGCAAACAAACTAAGGCACAAAGCAGTGAGTGACATAACTTGCCCAAGGTCACTCTACCTGTAAGTGGCAGAAGTCTAAGTCCAGGGAGAAGACAGAGATGGGGTGATCTGCTCTTTGGGCCTTCTCCATATGGTAGTAGGTTTTGGATGAGAAGAATTCAAAACTCTCTTTCTAAAGAAATGGAGACAACTCTAGATAAAGAAAAGCCAAGAGAATTCATTGCTGACAGATCTGCCACACACACATGCTAAAGGGAGCCTTCAAGCTAAAATGAAATCCACTGTATAATAGCTTGAATTCCCAGAAAGAAATAAGGAACGGCAGTGAGGGTTACTACATGGACATCATGGAGGGCAGTAGAAACATTTTTGTTGAGATAATTATAAAGCTGTGATATTTTATAGAGATGTAGTTTGCATGACACAGTATGAAGGCATGGGGAAAGAATGGAGTTACATTAGAGCAAACTTTCTCTATACTGTTAAATCGATATTGGAACTCAAGTGGTAGAGTGCCTGCCTAGCAAGTGCAAGGTCCTGAGTTCAAACTCTAGTATCACCACCACCAATATAAAATAAAATAAATCAATATTAATCTGAACTAGATTGTTTTAGAGCTTAACTAGAAATTAAAATGCTAATTGTAATCCCCAGGGCAAACCCTAAGAAAACAACTCAAAAAAAATACTGCAAATGGAACAAAAAAGAGAATTAAAAAGATAACTTAGAAAATATTTTACACACAAAAAATCAGGAATTGAGGACTAGAGGAACAAAAACAAAAGACATAAGAAATAGGAAGAAGTAGCAAAATGGCAGACTTAAATCCTATCTTACCAATAATTTAGTGAGTGAATCTAAGTGGATTTAGCATCCCAATCAAAAGGCAGAGACTGTCAGAATGGAGTAAGAAACATGACTCACTGCAAGCTGTTTGTGGGAGATTTACTCTGGATTCAAAAGCACAAAAGAGTTGAAAGTAAAATGATGGAAAAAGAAACTGTGAGCAGTAACACTAGGGTGGCTATCCAAGTACAAACAAAATAGACTTTAAGATGAAAATTGTAACCAGAGTCAGGAAGGACATTTTATAATGATAAATTTTTTTGACTCAGGAAGATAAAACATTTTCCTAACACCAGAGCCCAAAATACATGAAACAAAAACTAAAAGAATTTTAGCAATTCAGTTTACTAGTTGGAGACTTCAGTACCCCTATTCAACAATGGATAGAACAACTAGACAGAAGACCAACAAGGGAAGAGATAGCTTGAACAATACCCTAAACCAACTAGACCCAACAGGGTGTTCTAAAGATCATTCCACACAACAGAATTCACATCTTCTCTGGTGCACATGGAACATTTTCCAGGACAGATAGGTCTCAAGAACTATTTGCCCAGTCTGGCTTCAAACCATGATCCTCCTGATTTCTGCCTCCCTAGTTGCTAAGATTACAGGCATGAGCCATGGGCACCCTGCCCTGGACTCTTCTCTTTTTTTGAGATTGAACTCAGGACCTCGTGCATGCTTGGCAAACACTCAACCACTGAGCTTGACCTACATCCCAAGCCCCTGAAAAGAATCATCTTTTCAACAAAAAGTACTGGACGGGCTGAGGGTGTGGCTCTGTGGTAGAGTGGATGCTCAGCACACACCTGGGTTTCAATTCCTAGCAACACACACGCACACACATACACAGATACACACATACACAGATACACACATACACACACACAGATACACACACATGCACATACACACAAGTAACAACAAATGGTGCTGGGACAATTGGATAGCCACATACGAGCAGAATAAATTTGAATACTTGTCACGATGTACACAGAAATTAAATCCAAATGGGTCATAGGACCTGGGGGCATGGATCAAGTGATAGAGTGCATACCTAGCAAGAGTGAGGTCCTAGTTCAGTACAGTCCAAAAAGAAAATAAACAAAAAGATGGATCATAGACCTAAAGGTAAGAACTGAATTCTAAAACTTATGAAAGAAAACACAGGAATAAATCTTTGTGACCTTGAGTTAGACATTGTCATAATACCAAAAGTGTAAGAAATAAACTAAAAAAAAATGATAGACTGGACTTCATCAAAATTAAAAACTATGTGTCAAAGGACACCATCAAGAAAATGAGGACAGGGTTGTGGGTGGGTAGCTCAGTGGTAGCACGTTTGCCTAACATGCTAGCATCCATCCCTAGCACAGCGAGAGAGAGAGAAGGAGAGAAAGAGAAAGAGAGAAGAAAAGAAATAAGACAATACAACCATAGAATGAGAGAAAATATTTGTAAATCATATATCTGATTGTCAAAGGACACCATCAAGAAAGAGGACGGTTGTGGGTGGGTACTCAGTGTAGCAGTGCTAACATGCTAGCACCATCCTACAGAGCGAAAGAGAGAAGGAGAGAAAGAGAAAGAGAGAAGAAAAGAAATAAGACAATACAACCATAGAATGAGAGAAAATATTTGTAAATCATATATCTGATGGACTCATAGCTAGAATATATAAAGAGCTCTTACAACTCAAAAATAAAAGATAAGCAACTCAACTTAAATATGGGCAAAGGATTTGAGAAGATAGTTCTCCAAAGAAGAGATGCAAATGGCCAATAAACACATGAAGAGCTATTCGGCATTCTTCCTCATCAGGGAAATGCAAATCAAACCACAATGAGCTACTTCACACAAATTAGGATGGGAGAGTGAAAAAATAAAAATAGGCAATTACAAGTGTTGACAAGGACATAGAGAAATCCAACCCTCTGCTGGTGGAAATATGAAGTGACCAGCTGCCTTAGAAAAGAGTTTGGCTGCTCCTCAGATGTGACCCATACAGCTACTATGAAACAGTTCTACTCCTACATATAACCCCCCAACAGAACTGAAATATGTCCAGGCACACACATACACATACACACAACATGTACATGACTGCTTACATACTAATATTCTAAAGGGCCATTGATGAATACATGAATAAAATGCAGAATATCCATACAGTGGAAACTTACTCAGCTATAAAAGGATGAAGTATCTGCTATAGTGCAGATGACCTTGAAAACACTAAGCCAAGTTGGTGTCTCATACCTGGGAGACTGAGGCAGAACAGTCACCAGTTGAAGTCCAGCCCAGGCACTTCATAGTGATGCCCTGACTTAAAAAAAAAAAAAAAGAAAAGAAAGAAAGAAACCTGGCACCAGTGGCTCACACCTGTAATTCTATGTACTTAGGAGGCAGAGATCAGGAAGATCAAGGTTCAGAGCCAGCCCAGGCAAATAGTGCTTGAGATCCTATCTCAAAAAAACCCAACATAGTTGGTGGCGTGGCTCAGTGTTAGTGTGCCTGCCTAGCAAGAGTGAAACCCTGAGTTCAAGCCACAGTACTGCCAAAAAAAAAAA